AGACTGTTGTAAGCTTATTATGAGAATTTTTTATATAATTTTAGAAAGAAATTTTAGTTAAGTCCTGTAAAGTATCTCACTAAATTGGCAGATCATTTTAAGAAATATGCATGAAACAAGAAAAATGATCTGCTAATATAGAGATTTGAGATAATTTTACTTAGTAAAATGACTTAAAACAAGTAAACATGTCTAGAATAATATTCCTACAACCATCTCAAAATTAGAAATGTTATATGCATCAATAAGATTAAAGATAATTTCACTTGATACCATCGCAAGATACCATTTCTTTGCAGTTCATATCACTAAAACTGTAGACTCATTATTCAGTTATTAATATTAAGTCTCATACAGTGACGTAGATGTAAAGCACTGCTCTTATTAAGCGTCAAAACCTATTTAAGTGCTAACAGTGCCTACTTATGGAGAATGTTCAACCTGCTAAACATTAGTGAGTAAATCACAAGCCAGTTAAATGAGTTGCTATGCATTTGCACATGCAGTTTTATAGTAGTTACCAAATAGTTCATAGTACTTGCTGAAGCACAGTGACAAACCGTGGCAAATAGAGATAGGTCTCTAGTTTAGGCCGGAAAAGCCAAAAAACCCTCTGTGATAATGCACATTTCTGCTGTTGCTCCTGTGGTGTTTCTAGTAGTGCGTGAGTGCTAAGTAAAAGCTAGCGCACATATACAGTTTTTGGTTTTTTAAAAACTAAACACAAGGGCTGGTGATGCTACAGCCATCCGTAGCCAGGAGTCCAAGAGAGCACAATTGGCCTCGCTCTCTCTGGGTGGGTAGGATGGCCCCTCCTTCTCCCCCCATCACTCAGCGCGATGCTAGTCAGCGCAGGCGTCTGTTAGCTGACGTAACAGAACTGGCGGTTGGCGCTTTCCTCCGAGCGCGTTCGGCTGTCCAGTGACGTTGCGTGAGCGGCAGCTCGAAAAGAAGCGGTGGTTGGCTCACAGGTCTCGGAGGAAGCCTGTGTTAGCCTTCACCCTCCTAGCGTTGATAGCATCGTGTGATTGGGGGAGTCCTAACTAGCGGGTGGAATTGGAGACGACTAAATTGGGGAGAAAATTGGGTAATTAAAACACAGACATTTGAATCTTGTAAAAGACATTACGTATGTTTCATTTAAACCTTTGGACAGACATCAACACATATTTTACCTTACATGTTGAAGGTTTCAGTGACTCTTTCAGTAAAGAGCCCTGGTACAGAGTTGCCTCCACTGTTTTTCTTTCCTAACAACTGACTGCAGAGCAAGTCTGAATTCTCTGGGACCCTAAGCAAAATTCTGCATAGGGGTCCTCCTGCCTGACTCATGAGCCATGTAAACCATTTGCAATTGTCATACAGTCACAACTGACACCCCAGTGCTCCCACTACAATCTCCATCCTTAAAAACAAGAATAGTAAACCTATACAAAACAGAATGATGTACTAACAATGATACTTTAAATTATAGATAATACTATTATTAAGTTTATCAGCTGTATCAGACTCATTCAGACTGCCCCCCTCCCCCCCTAGATTTCCTTTTATTCATTTTAAAATATGGAATACTATTTATGCTATGATTTGGCTGAATACTTGGTGATAATTATTTACTGAGAGATGTGCATCCATATTGCCCAATTTGCCCGGCTAAATCAACATTTTAAATTCAATATTTAATCAGCAGTCAATGTCAATGCATTGCTTTCCATTTTGCCTTAGTCCAGAGTTATAAGTAAACCTTGACTGAGAGACTAGATAACCATTGTCTTGTTTTAAAATGATGTGCGCCAATGAGGAGTGTGCCATGTCGCCCATATACTGTGTGGACAGGACTGGTCTCCATGGAGGCTGCTGCTGCAAAGCGCGAGTTTCATTTCGTGCATGCACATATAAATTTTATGTGTGATGTTTACATGTGACATTGTAAAAACTGCCCTGTTGTTGTTCATCAATAAGTAGTTGCATTTTACTCTAACTTTTTTGTTATTTGCCAACATCAAACTTGGAGAGCAGAGAACACAAGTTTACCTGATTACTGTTTCATGGTGTTTTGCATGACCAGTTAGATAGTTCCGCTTCATCTTCTCATCCTTGACACGAAGGGGAGGTGGGGCACTTGTGTAATTTGTGGGGCCCTACATCACGTGTGAATAGAGGGTATAGGGCCGACCGGCTCTGACTGACTGGACCCTGATCAGACTAGTGCTGGTGTTAGCAGTTAGTGACTTATCTAGGCTTAAAGTCATGTTTTCTCTCATGAAATTGGTCCCACTTACTGGAAATGAAAATGAGATTCATTGATTTCTCTATTACTGCTGTTGGAGCAAAACCTTGCATCTCCATTTTTGACACTTTTCAATTTTTTACATAATTTGAAAATGCCTGTTGTAAAGCATCTGTAAATTTCATGATAAATAGACAAAAAACCAGCCCAAAATGACTTGGAAAAAAGTCTGGTTCCATTGACTTACATTAAAAGTAAAGTATGTTTTTTTTTCTATCTCCTGTAAAGTTATAATTTTGGAGGTCTTGATAGCAGCGATATCTGTAGCATCTTAAATTATTGTTGTAAATATATGGATTTGTCCAGAAAATCACACGATCAGTACAAAAATGCTTGTGCTATGCAAGCTAATGCTAATATACACTGAACAAGTTACCTGCACTATTTTTGTGTGTTATTTCTGTTTATTAGAGAAAATAGTTTTATTTTTTAAGTAAGCTTGAACTCAATGCTAACATGCTAACAGTGAATAGATAATGGCTAATGTTGCCTGATATGACCCTACTTAGCCACACTTTTGCTGGCCATGTTAGCCCACTTTCACTCAATTTGACCCTTAAATGCATGTGCTCCTGTCTGTTAGCATGAGCTAGCTTCGAATCCAGGTGCCTCCAAGGCAGCGAAAATCAGAGACATGAAACCAGGAAAACAAGAGTTTTACTGGGACTTGTCAGGAGTTTTCCCCCTCCCTCCTCCCTCATCTCTCCTCCGATCTCTGCTCTCGCTCTCCCTCCCTCTCCTCTCTCGTTTTGTCTCCTTCGATCAGTCTCTGCTGACATCTTTCAAAGCCTTTGCTGTGATAAGGCAGGAAGTAGAGGAAACAGCGGGATCATCCCCCTCGCCCCGGTACTTAGATGTGAAGTTTCCTCTTATATTTGCCATTGTCTCACTGTTGCGTGAGATGTCAAAAACAACACAATGTAAGTCTGGAGACAAACAAATAGTGGGAAAAAAAAGGACAACCAAAAAAACCCAGCAGATATTTCTGTTTGCGTTTGAGTCTCCTCACCGTGCTCCGTGACTGATATCACGATTGTGTTTGAGAAAGCGGCGTGTGTTTCTCTCTGACAGCAGCTGACTTCCTGAGAGCGTACAGGGGGAAAGAGTGTGCTGATGGCTTCTACAAAAATGTCATTTCTCTCTGTAGCCAAGAGTCCTTGGGCTAAATGACAGCGGCGGAGAGGCAGAGGCTAGACGGAGGCATACAGATCTCAGGCCTATTTTATCTTTCTCTTTATCTCCAAAGCTCCTCTCACTCCCTTTGTGATTAGTCTCTAGGGCTGGCTGCTTTCAGGGGCTGTTATAGCCCCGTAATGCCATGTTTGGAGATGGATTTCTTGTTATTTTGGGAGATTATAGAGATTTTGGGTCGGTGTCAAGACTGTCCTTAAATTTGGTAAAAAAAAAAAAAAGGAAAAAGAAAGAAAAGAAAAAAAAAAAGAAAGAAAAGGACTTGAAACAGACTTGCAGTGTGTGAAGATTGAAAGTGTAAAGAGATTTGACCCAGACAGATTTCTCAAACTTTATAGCCAAAAACATATCAGTTGTCAGAATTCACAATATTTGTACTTAATGTATTGCACAATAAATCATTAGTTAATTGGTACTGTAGTACTGGCCTTTACAACAGACTTTGAAGAAGTGTCATTTTGTAGTGGACGACATGCTTTTATAAGGAACTCCAGGTCTGGGCTGTTCTTCTCTAGGGGAAAAGATGAATAGCATTCATCGCATCATCGTATTCATCATATATCTCTCCCTGTCGTAAACAAAAATGTACCTAAGTGTATATGTTTTTTGTCCCATGTACATTTTTTCTGTGAATGTCGCTGGATCCTCTGGATAGTGAGGACGTTAAGGAGTCAAAATACAACTATAGCTACATGCAAGTAACCACTGCTGCACATTGAATTGACAAGATTATAAGCCAATCTCACCAAAATAAGCCAAACAAACCAGCAAGCTTTGCCAAATCTGGTGGTGAAGTTGCTTTGGCAGTAGAAGCCTACTGTTTGATAGCTGGTTTTGAAATACAATAGCATTAAAGAACTGTATTAGAAGTGTTAGCATGCTTGTAGCATTGATGTAGCAGTATTCATACTTTGACTACTTAATGGTCTTGTAATACAGAGGATCCATTAACATTTGGACGAAAAAAATATGTACAAAACACCACAGGACGCAATAGTTGTAATTTTTTTTCCATAGAGAAAAACAGAGTTCTTTATATGGGCATGACACCAACTACAGAACAATGCATGACCTTAATATATCACAAGGCATATAGGAATCACAATATATAGAATATATATAACAGCATTTGGGTAACACTTTATTTGGATTTTCCAGTGTAGATGTTTTGTAGATGTTCAGTCTATCTTTAACTAACATTCAAATAAATATCGACTAAATGCAACTGAACTTGAAGTTGAGTGTGAAAGAGTTTATTAAATCTGTCTTTATCCCTAAACCTAACTCTAACCCTAACATCAAGGCCACTCCTACACCTACTCCTAAATCTAACCCTAATGTTGTTGATAATCAACGATCACCAGAAAGTTTGTTAATAATTCAAGTAGCTGTAGATCATCTATAGGGGACCATCCAAATAAAGTATGACTGCATTTTGTCCATATTGTGCAGTCTTAGATTACAATATTTATTAATATTGTACTAGATGTGTATTCATTGTCTCTCTCTCTCTCTGCAGGTGATGACTGGTACCTGTGCAGGCTGACTCTAACCCTGCCCAGTCTGTCTGACCTTCAGTGGGTGATGTTTCCTCAGCCATATCTGGCCGCAGTGGGACCTGATGCTGCTCCAGGCTCTGTGGTCTACAAGCTGGTGGCCCGACATAGAGACGGCTCTCCAGGAGCACCCCAGTTCCTGCTGGTGGATGGTAAGTGTGCCTCTGATCAGAGACAGTGACCTCCTTCCAGTCCAGTCGAGAGTTTAAGTTTGCTCTGCTATTCAAATAGAATGATATAAATGCATGTTTAATATAGTGTGTTATATAATTAATTTCATTTATATTTGATTCATATGCTGCAGCAACAGCTTCAAAGTGAATGAAGGACCTGACCGATTTAAAAATTTTGTGGGTGATACCAATACTACATTCAAGGGGTTAAAAATCCAGTAAACGATAATATCAACTGATATACAGTCAGGTCCATGAATATTTGGACATCAACAAAGGTATTGTTATTTTAGCTGTCTACCACAGCATTCTGGAGTTGAAATTAAATAAGGAATATGATCTCAAAGTGCATACACAACCCCCCATTTTTGGGTGCTCAAAAGTAATTTGACAGTTTGCTGCTCGGCTGTTTTATGGCCAGATGTATGTTATTCACTCATTATGTCACTCACATAAAAGGTCTAGAGTTGATTTCAAGCATGGCATTTGGAATCTGTTTTTGTTAACTCTCAGTAACTATTCCAAAGAGCTGTCATACTCCCACTCTTACTGCCGGTAAATGAAAGATGTAAACCACTGGTAAGCCTTAAAAGCAGAACAACATCTTATGGACAGATGAGACCAAGATCGAGTTGTACTAGAATGGTGGAAAGAATGTGGAGAAGGGTCAATTCTATAATCCGACTTGTATTACCTTATCTGTTAAGCATGGTGGAGGTAGTGTTATGGCATGGGTATGGCAACCAACGGAACTGGTTCCTTTGTCTTTATTGACGATGTGACTGTTGACAAAGGCAGCAGGATGAATTCTGAAGTCTATATTATCGGATCAGAGTCAGCCAGATGCTTCAAAACTCTTTGGATGGTGCAGTGAGTGCAGACAGAGAGCCCAGACTTTTTTAAGATAAAGTAGTGAAATATTCTGCAATGACCAAGACAATGACCTGACCTAAATTCAATCAAGCATGCATTTCACTTATAGAAGACAAAACCAAAGGTAAAACACTCTAAGAGGAGCTTAAGACTGCAGTAATGGCCTGGCATCACCAAGGAAGAAACCGAGCGTCTGGTGATGTCTGTTGGTTCCAGACTTCAGACAGTCACTGACTTCAAAAGATTTGCAACCAGGTATTAAATAACAATTTAAGTTATTATTGTTAGTTAGTTCAGTTACTTTTGAGACCAAAAATTGATAGACCTGACTGTAATTTTTTTATATTTAAATTTATAGTACAGTAGTTTTGGTTAAACAGTGCTTTACTGACTGATACATTTTGCATCAGTTTGTTATTTTAACAATGAAGTTGTTTTGTGTTTAAATGAAACAGTTCAGGCTGTATTGCTGTTGTAGAGTTAAAGATGGGATGCCCTATATTGGGCTCCTCAGTATAACTATCTAAGGTTTATGACATTGGGAGATCATGAGTTCAAATCCCAGGAATAAAAAGAGGTGTTAATAATCAGTGCAATATTGGCACTGATACCGATAAAAACGCAAGTTGTTAATATCAGCCAAGCAGTATGAGTCAGACTCTGGTGTAAGGTGCCGTTCTCACAACATTTGGAGAGACACGCAGTGACTGTGTCATTAAAACATCTCCTGTTAATGAATATGAATGGGTTTCTTAGCTAATGATTATTGCTGTTTGAAATATCTGCTGTGTTTCGGCGAGCAAACAGCAAACCCATTGGAGCATGGAAGCTCTAATTACTGATTTAAGAGATTTGCTGTTGTTATATTTATAAAAATGGAAAATTATTAAAAGAGAGAGACATTTTAGGGTGGCTCACAGCTATTCTACACGCGCTCTTCCTCCGCAGACCAGCAAACTGGAACAATACAGAACACTGATTTGGTTCATTTATTAAAGTTGATGATATTCGGTGGATAAATTGTTTACAAAGTTAGCGCCAGAATCTTTCATTGTCAGAAACTGCAAGCACAGTTCCTCCCAGTTTCATTGTCTGTTCTTTTCCCTGGCTTTGCCTTCTTCCGAATGATGTTCCTTTACAGGGAGCTCTGTGGTATATGAGGTGTGTGTGTGTGTATGTGGGAAGTAGCTCAGGCTAAACACCTTTTTAACTCTCGATTCAGAGCAGTAAATATCACCAAGCTTATAACTCAAGCCACGCTGTGCTGTTTCCATGGTTATTTACTCTCAGTTCGCTCTGCTTTAGCACTTGCATCGATCACACAGAGTCACATGAGGAATTTTAAGTCCTTTTCTTATTGTTCTGGAGACATGTAGGAATCACGTATCTAATTGGGTGTGGTAGCAACTTGGTCTAAAATGTAATTCTGGTTCTTTTGTTCTTTAATCTTTTGTATTACACTTTGTTTGAAAATGGAAAATACAGTAAAGCAAGATTTTCATGTTTTGTGAGACTGGAGACGGTACAGGCAGTACAGCATGCAGTTATGCTTTTGTAAGCATACTAAAAGTTGCTTAATATCTAATATAAAATTATCAGTAAAATGTTAAAAGGGCCTATATCTTATGTGGTTCTTGAATTGTGTTCTTCCCCTGATGTCCACTCATTACATTTGTGTGGTTTTATGTAAAAAATAAGTCATAATTCATTTTTACATGACCATTTTCTAACTTTTCTTGATCCTTTAGTATTAAACAGCCTGTTTTGTTTATTTAAGATTTTAAGACTGATATATGTTTTGATTGGCTGCCCTGTATTGTGCCTCATTCAAACACCAGTCCAAGCTGAAAATACCTTATAACTTGAATGGGTGGGGCTAAACTGATGTAGACTGAATATGGATATAAGGAAATGCTTTCATGATGTCTCAAAAATAATGAATTCAAAATGAGCTGCTTTTGCTACTTCATTTTCACATATGTATGGACTGGGGAGTAAATGATACTTTTTGAAACAATGTTTACAGACTACATCAAACAATGAATTTATATATTTTGACTTTAGACACATTATAATTTAGACTTTATTTGAAAAGTCATAATGAATAAAAGTAATCTGTAAGTGGTCCTGCTGCTGGGACTTGAAGTTGAATTTAAGATGCAACCTGCCAATTGACCTTCATAGTCAGCAAAGGTGTGTAGAGTTGCTTAAACCATACTGAAAACTATTGCCACTTCAGATTTTTCCTAATGATTCTGGTAGAAGTAAAAGAAGTAAAGTGGCTTGAGTAGAAGTACAAACATATTAGGCCTAAAACCTCAAGTACAGCGTTCCTTACAGAACTGCAGTGAAACGTCTTAGTACATCCAGCCCCTATCAGTGTGAGAACTGATGTTTGTTAGACTCTATTCTTCTTGTTTTTAGGCTTCTTTTGATCTAAAGTAAGTTCAAAAGTGAGACATGTGACCAATCCAGGAGCTGAAACAGCAGAACACAATGAACCTAAATACAAAAAGAGAATTTGCACCTAAATTTGAATGACCGTACTGGAACTTGATGAAATGTAGCAGGAGGTCTTGGAAGTCCTAGAGAGCATAATTGGCCTTACTCTCTCGGGGCGGGTGGGGCACTCAGCACAATGCTAGCCAACTAAGGTGTCTCTTAACTGATGTAAAAGAATCGGCAGTTAGCATTCTCCTCCAAACGTGTTGAGCTGTACAGTGATGTTGCATTGTAGTTTAAAAAGATGGCTTGCCTTACATGTTTAGGAGCACATGCTAGCCTTCTTTACTCTCCCAACTTGATAGAACTATGTGATAGGGGGAGACCTAAGTAGCAGTCGGGAATTGATACTGTAAAAAAAGAAACTTAAAAAGTTTGCCTGAAAATTTTGAGTTCATTGAGCTTCAAATAATGAGTTTATGGAATATAAAATACAGATTATTATTCTGTTAACTTACCAAAATGTTAAGGCAACCAGGTTACTTACTTTTTTAAGGTAAAGCATCAAATCATTTTTACTAAAATTAGGGAGAAAATTGGGTCCATGCACAAAAATACATGCACTTTGAGCACAATCCAATTGAAACTACTCAGAAAAACACATTAATTTGTCTTGAAACAAATGTCCATGAAACAAGTGTAATCATTACCCATCTCTGAAGGCCAGAAGCTGTTGAACTAGCAATAAGTAGTTTTTTTTGTGACAGTTGTATATGTTCAGTGTCATAACAAAACCTTGTATCTCCAAAATGATAACATTATAGAAAAATTGGTACAAAGCATAAAAATTTCAAGGTTTTGAATTGACAGCAACAGTATAGAAGATCAGAGGCTTGTTCGCTGAACAAGGGCTTAGAATTCTCCTTATAAGAAATTCTGGAAGTGCTTGATAGTGCTAGGGGCCCGTAGGTGGGAGATGTTTATTAAAAGCCTTAAATCAGAGATGGCACGTGCGGCTTTGTCTTTGGGGGAGAGCAGCTGATGGAGGGGCCGCATAGATGCAGCTGTGGCGTCTGCTCCGCTACAGCAGCTGTGTGTTTCAACCTTCTCCACATCATCCTCTCTCCCTGCCGCCGTGCTCCGGGGGACAATGTTTAAAACAGGCTCTCATCTTTTTGTTGTCCTGAAGGGGAATTTGAAGGCCTTATATTATCCCAGTGATACAACACGCATACACAGCCACAGCTGACAGAAGGGTCCTCAGACCGACCCCCTCTGTGCATGAAAAGACTTCAAGGTCTGAATGACTTTGTCCACACGTCTTCATCTGCAGTCACTCACTTATTTCTAAGGAAATCAATGTATTGCAGTCTAAAAAAGGCGTACATCACAGTCAAAATCATGACATTGTTTTTCAGTCTGAGTGCAGCATCTTTTATTTTGCTTTCCATTTCAAATGAACTACTAAGTACAACAGGTTATGTAAACAATTAACTTGATGTGAGAGCCTCTTTGATTTTAGGAATTTAATAATTGATTCAAAAGTCAGGCAAAATTATTTCCTTTGCCTCCATAGCGCTTCCATCTTGCAAGTTCTGATACACAATCAGAGGTGGAAAAATTGTGGAAAAATCATTTATTCTTATTCTTAAATTTATTGTTATTATGAAAAAATGGGTACTGTGTCAAAATGTTACTCAATTAAAGGTGAAAGTTTGGAAAAAAAAATACATGTGAGTGAAAGTCAAAGTAAAAGGTAAGTGTTTTGTGACATGTTGCCCTGTCTCATCCTTTCTTTGTCTGTGTTTTCTCTTCTTGGTTACCTTCCCTCGTGCTAAAAGCTAAACTTTTTTTTCTTATTTGTTTGTTCTTATTTTTATTGTTGAGAGCTAAAATTTGAATGGAAAAGAATAAAATTATCTGGCAATAATGGCTATGAAGGCATTCGTTATTTGTCTTGTTAAAGACAAACTTTTATGTATTAAAGATCAATAATGTAGTTGCATGTTTGTGGACACATTTGTTAACTAGTCAAGTCCGCCCCCATCATACACTTTGCCATGGTGCCACCAATAACTGGAATGCCCCCTGCCACCCACCACTAAATAAAAAACTAAATAAAAATGAAAGAAGTAAAAAAAAATGTTTCACTCTGAAATGTATTTGGTAACACAGTTGTTGGTACAAATCTTCCAAATAATACTTGAAGTTCAGCTTCTTAAGTATTTTCCATCCCTGTAAAATACAACAAAGATTCGTAACACAACGCAAGTTGAATGTTCCACTTATGGACAGTAAACATGTGTGTGTCAGGTGGAGAGGACTGTTTCGAGGTGGACAGAAGTTCAGGAGAAGTGAGGACGACAGGCCGGCTGCTGACCCCCAGCAGAGAGTACATTCTGACCGTGCAGGCAGTGGACACACAGGGCAGGAAGGGCCCTCATGCCTCAGTGGCCGTATTGGCTGGCTTCCGTCCACCGCAGTTTACCAACACCTCCTACTCCATCTATGTCCCAGAGAGCACTGCAGTGGGCCAAGCGTGAGTAGCTTTTCTTTTCTGTGTGAGTGTAAATCCCTGCATGTTTGTTTTTATACATCTTCGTGACAAAAATATACACCATTTACAGGAAAAGCAGAGAAAAAGAGGTAAACTGTAACGTCATGACCAACGAAATGGCACTGACTTTGCAAAACTTTGTAAAGCTAGAAGAAAAAAAAGATGCTCATATGTGTTTGTTTGTGATTTTGGGCCATTTGTATTGGTCCATTCATCATTCATCACAACACAATGCAAAGGTTAAATAGAGGTTTTAAATAACCCAGAAAGGTTAAAAAAATGACAACAATGGAAGATTTTTCGTATATATATATCATCACTGTCCAAAGAAAACAATGTATCTCCATTTTTGTAGATTTTTATTTTTCTAATCAATTTAACACACCAACTGTCCTTTATGTTGTGTGAAAATTGTACGATGAATGGACCAATAGAAATGCTCTAAAATCACTTCGAATAAAATCTCTTTACATTAACTTACATTGAAAGGTAAGAGTGTTTTTGCCTTCTCCTGTAAAGTTACTATTTTGGAGATGCCTGTTTTTCTTTGGACAGCGACGATATGTACGTGTGTGTGTGTGTGTGTGTATATGTGTGACCCCATGTCCTGCAAACGTGTGTGTGCTTGTGTGTGCATTCATGTGTGTGTGAGCACGCCTGTGTATATGTTAATGTAGTTGGGGGGGTGCAGTGTTTTGTGCTCATTAGAGAGTGTAGTGAAGGATTGTGTGAACACGGCTGATTTTGCAGCATTATGTGTCATCTGTGCCCTGAGGAGCAATGAGAGCTGAGCGAATGAGCAAAAAAAAAAAAGAGAGAGAGGAAAGACAGGATAGAGGAATGGAGGAAAGGAGGGATGGAGGGATAGAGGCAGCAGAGGGAGGAGCAGTAAGAACGAATGGAGGGAGAAGAAGAAGAAGAAGGAAGGGGGGGATTACTGAGACGGAGGTTAGCGGGGGACGCAGATGCAGCGCTTTGTCCCCGGGCTCCGAATTTGAAAGTGTGCAAAATTCAAATATTTATTAAAAGAAAGTTCTGGATAAACATGAAGAGCAGTGTGTGTGAACCTGCCCCCTCTGGGCACTAGTGCAGAACAGAGTGTATTAATCTGTGAGGAGGAGGGGAGGACAGCTAATCACACACACACACACACAGTGAGAGTGTCTCTTCTTAACAGCACCTTTTCTCTGAGCTCCAGTGCACTCCTGTGTGTTCTCCATCTCTTAGCAGGATTTCCACATTCTCCTTAATACATACTGCATGAGCCAAATGTTGAACTGCCCTTTGATGTCCTATTCTATCCCCGCCGTGTGTGTGTGTGTGTGTGCAGGGTGGCTGTGGTCCAGGCGATCTCCTTCCAGAGGAAGACTCTGTCCTACATGCTGTTGGTAAACCCAGGAAACCTGTTCAGTATAAACCAGGAGAGCGGGGCGCTGAGCCTGACTCGGGCAGTCGACTACGAAAGTGGGCCCCACCTTCACCACCTGCAAGTCAGAGCCTCCGAACCAGACACGGGCCTTAACAACATAGCAGAGGTGCTCACACAGACTTGGCTGACCATTTCTAACTGTGGAATCACCATTCAAAAGTTTGAAATCACTGTTTTCATTAATATCAATCTGTTCAAACTGTTTAAAAGTCAGAGGCAGCCTGTTATTTATTTAATTTCCAGTCAAAACAGCCATTAAGTACAAGTTATTCATTTTTCAGCATCAGATAAAAAGCAGAAAATATTTATTTAACAGAAAATCACACAAAAGCCTTGAAACTTTGCAGTATTAAGTGTGTCCTTTTCAATTTACTAGTGTTTAGTTATTTAAAGAAATCTGCAAAGATATTTTTCTATACCTCCAAAGTTCAGTCTTAGAAGTTGGTTGCATTTGAGTGAAGTAATGACGATTACAAACTTAGACTTAGCAGCCCATAAAACCTTAGTAGTCCATTAAACTCCACATTTTAGGTGTCCAGTGTGAAAACTTTAAGTAATGTTTTTTTAGATGGGACAGTTTTGGTGGTCCACCAGGTCTTGCTCAGTTGTTAGGAGTCTCATTTTCTCTATAATTTTTTAGCATTTTTTGAACAGGAGATGGTAATTACTTTCTCCTTCTGCATGCAGTTGAATTATCTTTGAATTATCTTATGTCTAAAGTCTCTGACTTTTGCACTACAACTTCACAGGTTTCAAATAATTTATAGGATTTAATTAATTAATGATGAATGGAGCTGGAGATGATTCCATAATAAATGAGAATGAAGTTAACGTTTTATTTGAAGAGAAATAAAATCTTGAGGCAGATAACTTGACAGGAAATTGCCTTAAATGGATGATTACAGCATGTCATATATCATTTCAAGGGGAATTCCACCAAGTTTCCCAAATTTCTGCATAGTTAAGTTATTAAGTGTTTCGGAGTGGTTTGGTGTGAAATACTCTGTTCTAAAGGAACTTAAAGAGTCGGAATTGTTCACAGTGGAGGTGATAGGAACCAGACGCCTGAAGAGTTTAATGCTTCTAAAAGCTCCCTCACTGAATCTGTTACATGAAAATTGGTATGAATACGCTACCTGGTGCCTGAGACAAACTTTTGACCAAAAATCTGTTTTTTAACTCCATTCATGGCAGACAGGTACATGCAGGGTGCTGTATGTCTCCAAAGAAAACATTACCAGTTTTTCCACTACTTTACCATTATCTGCATTACATTTATAAACTCAGAAGATATGCGTCCCTGGTTCCTATCACTACCACTGTAAAGAAATCACAGTCTGTGAGTTTTTGTAAAGTGAACCAAGCCACTCTGAATGACTTTGTTTACATCTTAATGACTGAGAAAAATAGGCAGATTAATAACTTCATTGTGTTCCAACACTTTCCAACATTAAAAACACCTTCTGATATCTACTTTCTAATACTTTCATATACACTGTATAAGCTATTATAACATTAAATCAATATACGAAGAACCATAGTGTGCTCATACACCCACATCACAATTCACTTTCCTTTATTCTCATTGCATGTGTGTCCCCTCCTCCTTAATCTGGTTGCAGTGGGCAGTTTAATGACTGATCCAGCACGGTTGTAGAAGGCACACATACATACACACACCACCTCTACTAAGTGTCTGTGTGTCTAACACTGTGCATTGGAGGCTGCAGGTAACAACATGACTGTAACTTCTTATAGTTTAGATGTGTGAGTGAGTGTAGGTGATATAACGGCAGGTGCAGGATATAGAGGTGTGATATGTCATTACACACTGCCTATTGCTGGAGAAGGTGTGTGTGTGCGTGTGGGTGTGTGTGAAATAGAGAGCAGAAGAACACCTCGGATGTCAGTGTAGGTGCACTGGACTGAGCTCATTAACTGGAAGATGCTCCTCTACATTTTGACCCTTAATGAGTTCCAGAGTTATTACTGCCGCTCTGCTATACATTCATTTTACATCCTATAAATATTTAAATGTAGTCTTATGCAAGAGCCCCTGGTCAATTGACATGTTTTTGTTGATGTTCTAAGTGAAAATAAATGAACACATCCTCTACAGAAAACACACTTCTGCACATTTTAACGCACAATTACTGTTTATTTGCTGAATTTAAACAGGAATTCCACAGAATTTCTGCATAATTCAATATATAAGATGTAAACAAAGTCATTCAGAGTAATTTTATGTGAGGAGCCCCATTCTAAAGAAATTTACTAACCTCATCAACTTTACCAAATTTACCACTTTACAGCGGTGGTGATATAACCCAGGGTTCACAATTTCTGCAACACAAATATAGCTACTATATTTACTGTCCAAAACCGGTTTCATTTGTAAAGTGATATGTAGGGGTTGTAAAATAGATAAAGGTAAATCGGTAGAAATGCATTTTCTTTGGGACTATTTTGCCTTATAGCACCTTGCATATACCTCTCCAACATAAATTGATTTTAAAAATGATATTTTTGGCCAAAACCTTCACTCAAAATGATCATAAAACAATTTCTTGGACATCATGCAAATATTTGTAACAATTTCATGTAATCACTTTCTGTGAGGGAACATTTAGTGGTGTTAAACTCTTCAGACGTCTGGTTCCTATCACCACCACTATGATCAATTCTGTCATGGTATGTTTCTCTAGAACGGAGCGTTTTCACATCAAACCTCTCTGAGTGACCTTGTTTACCGCTTGTTTAACTGTTTAATTATGTAGAAATTTTGAAGAATCTGTGGAATTCCTCTTCAACATATTGTGGCCTGTTAAGAAAAAGTTATGGCACATTTTATATTTTATGTTAAATTCAGCAAAAATATATAAATTGTGCACAAACATTTATTCATCTACAGGTTGAACTTTTCACTTAGCAAAGCAACAAAACATAATTTAACCAGGGACATTCAAACTTATAATAATAAATTGTACAGGATGTTACATAATAAAATCTGATTTACATTCTAAATTAAAAGAGTCTGAGCTTCGTCAAACCAGCCCGAATTAATCGAGTCTCAGCCCTTTTTTTTAACGTTCACTTGCCTTTCATATTATAAATCTAGATCTTGATCTATCCCTATATTCTTGATAAAACATATTATCATTCCCATTATGTTGCACAAAAATAAAGATGCTTAATGTCTACTTGTATCACTGTCACTGTAAGAGTAAAAAATTAAACCTAACTGCTTCTAACTCTCAGCACATTATTCTTTCCCTCTCCTAACTCTGCTTCTTTATGATTAATTAATATAAATTGAACATCATCGATATCTGGCCCAGCCTATGAGAAATACTTTGTGCAGTCCATGTGACAAATCCAGTTTTTTTTTTTGACTATTGCTCATCTGTGAGAGAAATGTTAAAACAGGTGGATTATGCAGACAGTACAGCAGTGACACATGCCGTGAAAATGTTCTGTTGTTGAATTCTCTAATTTGGTGTGGACCATCGCAAAAATGTGTTCTCACCAGCAGTGAACTAACCAGATTTCACTTGGAAGTGGACCAAGACCTGTGTTTTTTTAGCGGTCCCCTGTTCAGCTGTTTGGTTCAGGCCCAAGTACGGCTAGAGCATTCACATCTCCAAAAACGGAACCTAAAGAAAAGGTTTGATTGGTTTGTACCAAAACAGGCCTAACATGAAAGCACCCTTAGGTTGTTAGTTTACTTTTTGTGACATTGTATCTTTTTCATTTGATTTAGTTGGTTTCACACTGCAACGGTTAAAGTGCACCAAATTACACATGTAGGTGTTTATTGGTCAGCGATTTGGCAGACATTTTGCTACTTTCACATTTGCCACTGTGAAAGTACGAAAACAGAAAATATACACATTTAATGTCAATGTGTAACAATAATAAACTTTACTTCATAAATGCTTCTTTTATGATTTGTTTGTCAGTTTAAATTTAACCAAGTTGCCATTACTTGGCCAAAATAGGTCTGGCGATCCATGTGCCAAAATCAAACACATACTTTCACTGTTATTTCTTGCTCATCTGCCATTGTTGGCTGTTCTGCAGGAACAATATGAATGTCTGTAAAGAGTCAAGCATTAAAACAGGCAGATTATGTGGACAGTCCAGTGCTGACATGCTGCTAGAAGAAGCAGAACAGCATGCTCTGATGTTGATTGCAAAGATGCGTTCCCACAAGCAGTGAACTGAACTAGAGTTCATTTGAAAGAGAAGTGAAACCTGTGATCGTTGCCTTTGTTTAGTACAGGTGTAGTGTTCACACCTTACCAAATGAAGCAAACTAAAGAAAAAGTTCATTATGTCAGCACCAAACAAGGTAGGTGTGACAGCACAATTAATCTGGTGTAGCTGTTATTAGCAGTAACACTCCTCCTACATGCAGGCTGTAGAAGGCAGCAGCCTGTGGCCTTCACTGTCTCACTCTGACTTACACAAACAGCGAGTTATCGTCCTCACTGATGCTGGTGTAGGAGTGGAGCTGTTGCAGAGTGGAACAGGGAGTGTGAAAGAGGACTGGAGCGTCCTCCTCTGGTCTGACAGCTGCAGGGGCGCATGGTCAACTATCTGTTCTGTGTGTGTACGGGGGTGCCGTGGCAGTGTCACAGAGAAGTTTTCCTCCCTCTTGGCAGTGCTGCTCCTCAGAGATAAGCTGTGCTCTGGGACTCTGCCCTCAGCATGACTAACATACTCCTCCGTCTCCCGCTCCACCTCGCCCTCTCTTCTCTCACTCTCTCTCTATATCTCTCTTTCTATACGGATATCTTCCTCTGTCTCTGTGTTTCTTTCTCTCTCTTTACATTGCACCCTCTCTCTTCCTCTCTCTATACCTTAAAGGGCCCAATAGCGTGAAAAATTGAATATTCCCCACTTTTTTAAAAAGAGTTTGATGTGGTGTGTAAACACTGTATCAGCCAACACATTCACTCCTCAGTCCACACAGTTTATACAAGAAAACTGAGTGGCAAATACAGCTCGATATGAATTCATTGTTTTTGTGATGTCATAAAAGCCAATGCCTTAATATACCCACAGCCTACAGCAGCTTAGCTCCACCCATTCAGTCTGAAGTTATAAGAACTGTTTTAATCTGGCTTGCTTTTTGAATGAGGCACAATACACGGCAGCCAATCGGAACAGAGACTATTTACATGCAATGGTCTTAAAGAATATACCTATGAAAAACAGCCTGTTTAATTTAAGAGATTCAACGTTTCTACATATGTTGATTCTTTTTCCTTCGTTGGCGACTTGTAATCAATCACAGCCTAAATATCTAAACCTGGATTGATCACAGTATGAGTTTCTAAACCTGCTTAATCACAGCCTCAGTATGTAAACCTGCATTAATCACAGCCTAAATATCTAAACCTGGATTAATCAGTCTGAGTATCTAAATGTGGATTAATCACAGCCTGAGCATCTAAACTTGGATTAATCACAGCCTGAGTATCTAAATCTGGATTAATCACAGCCTGAGTATCTAAACCTGTGAGTAATCACAGTCTGAGTATCTAAACCTGGATTAATCACAGCCTTAGTGTCTAAACCCGGATTAACTAGTTACCGCTGTTGTAAAATGCATTAACCGTGGCTGTTCGTAACAAACAAAAAACAAACAGCATAACGTAAATACCTGTGCATCTGTCCAGTCTTACTGTTGACAAATCAGGCTGAATTCTGAAATCAAACTGCTCTCCAAACACATAGCTAACACTGTCAAACCAGCTTCCAGTGAAACTAGCAAGTACATGTGTTCTCCACAAACTGTAGTTTCTCACCTTGCCCCACATCTAGTCAACCAGCAAAGACATGTTAGATGTCTAAAATGAGATTTTTTAGTTTCTCACTGTAGTTATGAAGCTAATGTAGATAACATGGCTTGCTAAAACTAGTTAGTATTGTGCAAACTGTATGGCTAAATCATCACTGACTTGTCAATCAATGCAGTCTGCACAATCCTAATGTTGTGACTATAAGTTTCCATTGCTTTTTAGCTACATTAGCGTTGTAGCTGTAGTGCAAAACTAAAGAAACACAATGCTGGTTATTGTTGGCTTTCAAACCTTTCTCAGATAAACTCCAAATATTAACAGATGAGAAAAAAGTTTACCTCAGATAATATCAGTTAGTTCTGATGGTACAGTCTGATTGGTTGAGAAGTGATCTACCCATGATGTTATTTGTGATAAGAGCAGTTTTTTCACCGTAAATGTGTCATTCTGCTGAAACAAACAGAATGAAATTCAGCAACCAAAGTGCTTTGTGAAGTGCTTTACAGACTGACTTAAACAAAATCACATTAAGGTTAATCTGGCAGGTTGAAAAGGTAAACTGAACCTGATATTGCTGCGGTTTTATGGCTCTATCCGTAACGCAAGTGACTATTTTGTAGAGTAAGGCATTGCCAATATTAAAGCATATTGGATACAATATGCCAGGCTTTATTTTGCAGAACTGTTTTATAAAAGCAATAGAACATTCAGGGTCTCATGTAATCGTGAACAACATCAAGACCTTTTGTGTTACTTCATTACTGAGTTGTGAACTCATAGTATTGCATATTATTGTTTGATTAGACAAGTACATTTCCTACTGTACTTTAATGTCTCTCCCTCTCTCTCTCTCTCTCTCTCTCTCTTTGTAGGTAGCGGTACACGTCACCGATGAGAACGACTGCACTCCCGAGTTTATGCACTCCATCTACAGCAGAGACAACATCCCCGAGACCACTCCACCTGGAACCTCTCTACTGCAGGGTGAGTGAGGACCGCAGGGAATGTTCAAAGGATGATCTCACAGAGGTCACTCTTTCTTTCCATCTCTCTCTGTCTTTCTCCTTTTCTGTCTCCCTCCTGAGGTGATGCTGTGTGGGCGAGAGGCTGCTGAACACAGCCCTGTAATTAAGAAATAATTCATTACAGCTTATGCTTGTGCGCTCCAGGTGGTAAATGGAACGCAATCAAAGGCAGCTACGCACTCTCAGGATGTGGACAACCCTCACCCCAGCCACTTTTTCCCCCTTTCCTTCCAATTTTCACTCTTAAGCCCACTCCCTGGGTGCCCTGTTGTGCTACTTCATTTCTGGTATTTCACGTAATCAGATGATACAAACATTATTAAATAGTATAGCATCCCTAAGAGCTTTATCTGGCTAACGCTGTGCTTCTGTAGTTCAGTGTTCTAACTGCCATGACCTGAGCTGTGTCCCCAATCTGACATTCATAGGTGGAGATTTCATATACATAGTCCATATACATAGTCTGTCAAAGGTTTGGGGACACCTAGCTTTTCAAAATGTTTTAATACAAATGAGCACATTTTCTTTGTTGGTTTGCAATAACTTGAAGCAGCATTCTGGCCTAAAACTATAGTTTAAAGTATTATTTTGTCCTGTTATTCAGTATTCAGGTTGGTATAGTGGGTGATATAGTGTAGTGGATAACACTTCTACCTGCCACACACCCTGTGCTAAATTAATAAGAGTATGTGGGCAAGATTCCTAACACTACCTTCACCTACCTGTGTAAAATGATCAAATTGTCAGTTGTTCTGGATAAGAGCATCTGCTGAATGCCATAATCAATGCCAGCATGCATTAAGCCGTTAAATCATATGGACACAATAGCATTAGTGTAACTGTTAGCACAGTTGTTAAGAATATATATATATATATATATATATATATATATATATATATATATATATATATATATATGTATATATAAAATTAACTAGTATATAAGCTTAAGTTATGCCACACATTATTGTTCGAATACATAGACTAGACTCAGTGTACACAGACTCTACCTCAACATGATGCTCAACTGTTGATGGAAATTTCAACATTTCATTGGCAGATAGTTCTCTTTGGATCAAAATAAACAGTTTTCATTCACTTAAATGCACTTTCAGAAACTTTTGTCCATTTTATTCATTTATTTTTGTCCAATTCATTTATTTTATTGTCAACATATTTTTGGTTTGTAAGTCCAACAACCCAGTTGGTTCTCTTTTTTGAGCATACTTTTTGTTGCTTAACTGAGAAATAACAGTCAAAATCAAACATCACTTGGAGAAGCAAGGTTTCTCAAAACTTTTGACGAGCATTCCAAATGTTTGGCTACTATGGGTGCACACTCCCCTCACCTCTCCCACTGAAACTGGTAATTGCTTATTAGATTTTCCATCAAGGATAGAAGTATGTATTGTCTATCGTTCTACTGGTGATTCCTCATTTTCATTCTCTGCACACATTTAGCTCCTCATAAGTCGGGTTCTTTTTATGAGAATGCCTGGTCAAACCAAACTGTCCCCCCCACCCCCCCCACCCAACCCCTCTTTTTTCAGAAGGTCTGGACAGTGAATGTGTGTACGGCTGTGTGCGTGTAAGTGGGTGGTTTGAGTGACCCAGCTCTGTAAGCGTGCAGCTGGCAGTGCCAGGGCCATAGGCAGGCAGTCTGTGCTTTGACCCCTGTCCCAAAGGCAGATAATCAGGGCTGATAGGAGGGGGCTATGGATGGTAGAGCAGAGAGGGGCAGGATCTCTGCTAAGCACGCAGGACCTGTGTGTTATCTGGCTCTGGAGGCCCGTGCAACGATCCTACTGCTGTAATTGAAAGTGTTTTAGGGGCTCTTAAAAAATGGATGATGTGTTTTACTGAATACGGAGGGAGGGCCCATGAGACACATTAGACTTTAAAGATATATCTGTCTGTTCACTTTTTCCAGTGATGTTACACTGTACAGTTGCCAGTTTATTAGGTACCTTGTTATCTTGTGCCTACACTCACTGGCCTACACGAAAACACCTACCATATAGAAGCACTTTGTGGGTTTACAATTACTGACTGTAGCTCATCTTTTGCTGCACAATTCATCATCGCTTTACACCATTCATCAGTGTGAAAGAACCACAATAGGACAAACTGTGCATATCAGCTTTGGTCCAGTATTTGCCTGTACTTAACAATTGTGAAACTACAAAGTGCACCTATATGGTAGGTATATCTGATAAAATGGCCAAGGTATAAGGTAGGTGTACCTAATAATCTGTCAACTCAGTGCGTGTCTAAATGTATCCAGAAACTTGTTCAGCATTTCCTGTAAAATCAGTTTGTCCCTCCTGTCCTGCATTAATAGTAATATAGTAATTAGTAAAACAGTAATATAAATTCCACGTAGGACTCCCCCAACCACATGATACCACCAGCGCTAGGAGGGCTAGCACAGGCTTCCTCTGAGACCTGTGACACGAGCTACCACATCTTTTCAAACTAACGCTAACGAAACGCCATTGGGCAGCTATACACACTCTGAGAAAGGTGCCAACCACCAGTTAAGTCAGCTAACAGAGGCCTGCACTGGTTAGCATTGCACTGAGTGATTAAGTGATGGGAGGGAGATGAAGGGGCCATCCTACCCACCCAGAAAGTTGTGCTCTCTTGAACTCCCAGCCACGGATGGTTGTAGCATCAGCAGGGATCGAACTTGCAATCTCCTGATGATAGGGCCAACCCTTAGACGGTTGCACCACTCGGGAGCCTAGATATAGTGTTTCTAATAACAGTGACCTGGTAGACCACCAATACTGTCACCATCAGCGAAACAGTGCAGGTCTCATCTCTGAGAGGAGAAAATCAAGCTCCACTCTTGCTTCAGATCTGAAAAAAATCCACAGGTGTTTCTGTCCATCCTCATCATTCCACTGTGAGGGGACACGTGTGGCCGGTTGCACCAGCTGTGCATAAGTTCAAACGTAGGCTAGTTGTAACGTAAGTGTTTACTAAGTTCAGGTTTATGCATCATTAAATCAGAACAGTTTGCACCAAACAAACTAGTTGTAACGTTGAGTTTATTAATTACTAAATATTTACCTCCCCCTGAGCAGGTGTACATGTTAGGGAAACCATCAGAAACCATGTACAAAGCACAACAAAGACCGAGAACATGACTTTTTTGGTTAACTAGGCTAAACATTCTAAACGCTAAATGCTGTGATTTTACTTACAGCTCTAATCATCGCTCTGGTTTAAACTCCAAGCTTGAAGCTAAACACCCACAGCTCCAGCTCAGTGAGACTCAGCAGCTGCATAAACGGCTAAACTGATCTGCTGTTGTGACTGTTATCCAGAAACTGTCGTTTAAATAGCTGCACATTTGGTTTTCTCAGGGAAATATCAAAAAATAAACAGACAGTGGCTGTAGATAATTAGTTTTGTTCAGTTTAACTTTTTCCATTGAAAAAGTCAGAGCCAGTTGCCACTGCTTTTCCATGGCAGCGGGTTTACTGGTGGGTTCTGAACATGTTATCGCCATGTTAAAGCGACGTACTCATTAGCCAGTTGTTACTAGTTAAGACACACCGTACGGATTTATGGTGCCACCAAATTTAGTAAAAGGATAGTTTGAAACTAAATAGTGTTCACTAAGGACTTAGTAAAGACTTGACGCCCAAACTTGAGTATAAACTTCTGCAAACCTGGTGCAACCCAGTGCTGAACACTGTAAGCCTGTAAGGATGTGTAGATGTCAGTTACTGAGAAACGGAAATAGACAAAAAGGAGAATATATGCACTAGAACACCCAAACTGGGCATCTGAAATGTGGAGTAAAGTTTAATGAATGGTCATTTTGACTGTTTTTAAATTAATTAAACGAATGGTGGTCTCAGAGTACACTGTACTGTAGTGTACATAGATCCACACACAAACACCTATAAATAGAGCAGTGGAGGTCATATCAGTACATGTGAGCAGGTGCACAAGCGTATACACGAAAACTAACAGAGCTCAGAGACACACAGCAGAATTATGTATGTCAGTGTATGTGTAATGTTGTCTCTCATCTCTGCATGCACCACTGGTGACTGTATTAACGTTCTCTGCTCTGATGGCTGTGTGAGTATTAAACAGTCGATAATAAGCTTTGAGACTGGCTGCTGGGAGAGCGAGAGGCTGCTGGGAGATTTGAATCCCACCATGCTCTGCGCAGCCCACCGTTTCAAAGAGCCCACCACCTCCCTGCCAGAATTCCCGATGATTAATGATCTTTAATTTCGTCTTTGTTCTGCACCAGCCAGACAGAGCCACAGAAACGAAGTAAGGCGAGGGAGACGACGAGAAAAAAAGGAAAGAAATTCTTGTCTGTTGATGATCTGCTAGTGTGCATGCTTTGTGAAGCAGATGCACACATTTGGAATGCCGACTGCATTTATGAAATTCAATTATGTTTACATATTGCCGTGCCGAGCAGAAACATGCCCTCTAGGCTGTTGCTTCCGCTCCCCTCTCTCCCTCATTCTCTCACTCTCTCTCTCTCTCTCTCTCTCTCTCTCCCCACTCCGTATGCAAATAGAATGGATTTCTGCCTGTGATTCGACTGAGTTCTCTTCTGTTTTCGTTGCGGTTTGGAAAACAACTTTATATTCTGTGCAGTTTTTTTTCCTCTCTCAACATGGTGAAAGCAGCGGGTTCACACAAACAGCAGATGGAGCCGGTATTTGCTTATCGAATGTGTTCTGTTGTGCGAGTAACATAAGTGCGGAAGAACAATCTTTGACTGCACGGAGGAGCCGAGCAGAAGGGAGAGAAGATTATTATTGTTGTTTACCTTAAGTTGGGATTAGGCTGTAAATTGGGTTCGGGCTTTTAATAGGAGCTAGCAGGAAGAGGAGCGAGAGACGCGCTCCAATTATCGAGCAAAAACTTCCCCAGTGAGGATTTAACAGCACACCAGAGCGACACAGGCGAGAAAGTCGTCTAACCTCCCCGGCCGCACCTAGCAGCCTCTCTCTCTCTCTGTGTGTGTGTCTCATTCTCCCTCGTGCGCCCGCCTGCCAGCGCCTGACTGCTGTGTTTAAATTACCCAAAGCTGCAAAGCCAGGTCCTCACACTAACACATGCATTAAAAATGGAAATAGAGGCCTGTAGAGGCGTTCTATTAGACTGCCTGTTTTAATGAACCGTCTGTTTGAATCCTGTCCTTAAACCTCCATTTGCAAGTACCAGCACACATATATAAACACCCACACCTCAACAAGTCTATACAGAAATAAAAAGAGAGTGAGGTAGAAAGAGAGAGAAAAAAAGAAAGAGAGAGAGACAGGCAGAGAGAGAACATGGAGAGAGAAAGAGAGAGAGTGAGAAGGAGAGAAAGATTGAAAGAGATAGAGACAAGAAAAGAGTAAGAGACAGAGAGACAGGCAGAGACAAAGAGAAAGACAAAGAGAGAGAGAACACGCAGACAGAGGAAGACGGACAGACAGAGAGAGAGGGGGAGAGAGAAAACAGACAGACTGAGACTGAAAAAGAAGGAGAGAGACATAGAAAGAGAGAGAGAAAACAAAGCGAGAGAAAGAGATAGAAAGAGAGAGAGAAAGTCAGAGAGTGAGAGACAGGCAGAGAGAGGTAGAGAGGCAGGTACAGAGAGGGAAAACAGGGAGAGAAAGAGGGTGAAAAGGTGAGAAAGATTGAGAGAGAGAGACAGATAGAGCGTGAAAGACAGAGAGAGACAGGCAGAGAGTGAGAGACACACCACAGCCCAGTACACCCTCTCACCAACACAGATCAGAATGATTCACAAACTCCAAAAGCAATATATCAATAACTGGACCAATGAACTTGCTTCAGTTAATAAATTAGAATGCTACAGATTGCTGAACAGAGAATACACATTATCAGATTATCTGATTAAAATAAAAAATCCCAAAGAAAGAAATATCTTAACAGTGTACAGACTTGTGATCAGAATTTAGAAATAGAAAAAGAGCGCCATAAGAAACACTGGAGGCCAAAAAAGAACGAATATGTAATCAATGCAATTGATTATAATTGAATAAATAGAAGCTGAACAACATTTTCTCTCCACATGTAGCAGATATAAAGATCTCAGAGAAGATTATTTCAGCTGAACTAAACTTATGTCCCATCATTTGAAGAGAAAATTAATAAGACTGAAGATTTGTTATGCGTGTGTTTAGGAGAGATACCAGAATGTGTTAACTTATCAGCTGCATATGTTTACAGCTGCCACACATGCAGAAAACAGAATAAAACAGTGCCTTAAACTAATACCATGTAAATATATTATTTATTTCATAATTTATATATGTGTATGTACGTATATTAAAGAGAGGGAGAGAGAGACATATAAAGACAGAGAAAAGAGAAGAGAGAGAGGGAGAACAGCAAGAGAAAGAGAAAGGGTGAAAAGGATAAAAAGAACAAGAGAGAGAGTGAAAAGATAGAAAGAATAAGAGAGAGAGAGAGGCAGAGGGTGACAGATGGAGAGAGAGACATAGAAAGACAGAGACAAACAGAGAGAGCAGGAGACAGGCAGAGACAGAGTGAGAGAGAGTCAAAGAGAGATAGAGAGACAGACAGAGAGAGAGATATAGAAAGAGAGAGGCAAAGAGAGAAAGAGACAGACGGAGAGAGACATAGAGACAAACAGAGCTAGAAAGAGACAGGCAGAGAGAAAGAGAGGCAGAGAGACATAGAAAGAGACAGACAAATAGAGATAGAGAGAGACAGGCAGAGAGAGAAAGAGAGGGAGAGAGAAATGTAAAGAGACAAACAGAGATAGAGAGAATGAGACAGAGAAGGAAAGAGAGAAAAAAGACAGACAGAGAGAAAAAGACAAAGAGATGGACAGACAGAGAAAGATAAAGAAAGGGATGGGTAGAGAGGCAGATGGAGACAGCAAGAGAGATAGAGAGAGAGAGAGAGAGACAGGCAGTGAGAGAGAAAGAGAGAGACAGAGAACACACAGCTCCGAGTGTGTGTGCTTCCACATCTGTGAGTGAGTGAGTGAGTGTGTATCTCTCTAACTCTGTATTTTCCTCGGAGATTAGAGGGTCTTCATCTGCCTCCACTAAATGAGCTCTCTGGCTGGGTGTGATGACAGCTTGCCCGAGGTAGAATGATGCAGGACCCTGCCGCTGGCTCGCTGCCTAATGACTGCAAAGCCTTCTTCAAGTTTTACTTTTGATCTGCGCCAGTCAACAGCCGCTTTCTCTCCGCCGCCGACAGATGGGCTCTTAAATTTATCAAATAAAGAATTGGCCCCTGCGACATAGTTTTAATTAATATTGGCTCTTTTAACATGACAGAGTACTTAATTAAAAAAGCACTTACTGTACTGAATCCAACAGACTACAGCCACAAACGAGGCCCCCTCAGCTCACAAGAGACCACAGGCACTCGCATACGTGAAAAATACACACGCTCACTCAGGGCCACAGGCACATTAAATATTTGCGGGTTGCACTCTGTAACTGAAAAGAGAAAATACTCAGTGCGGGCTAGGGCCTTAGATGAAGTTTTTATAGATTATATGCTACATAAAAATGATAACAGCCTAACAGGGTTGCCGACTTTGTTGAGGTGACTGGAGTGAGATTCTCAGTTTTGCATACACAAGTGTGTATTCATGGGTACATGCATGTAGCACTCATTTGAACTACAGGTCACAGTCTTTAGCGTGTGGAGGTTCTCAAACCAGCTATGTCTCCACTCACACATGAAAGGTAACTCCATATTCTTCATTCTTACACTCAGAGTTTCTTCAGTAAACTTTTCCTCTAGCAGTGCTTATAAAGCCTGTTTTAAACCAGGAGTGACGCAGCAGAAACGGCAAACCTGAAACTCTTTGTTGTCCTTCAGATTACTATAAACGTGTTGCCACTTGTAGATGAACAAATAAAATCTTTGATATAAGGAGACATACATTTATCATATAAGGAGATTCATATAATGCAGCATTGGTGGCAGATGATGTAGATAGACCAAACAGGAATGTAGTTGAGCTGAAGAACTTAGCATGTGTTATGCTTGTGGGAGGGAGGGATGTCATAGCAATCTTGGAGCGACAGAGAATCCCGACGTGCCAGCTCCGTCTTTATCTTCACTCCTGGCAGAATCACGCCGCTCCACTTTACTCCACACCCCTCACACTGGCTGAGCTATAGACATAAAAAGGTGGAGTTGCAGAAGATACCGCCAACGTTCTTTCATTAGGTTACAGTATGACCTAATCAGGTGTCATCATGCAGAAAGAATAAAAATAGTTACTTGCAAGTTTGTTCTGAGCGCGTAGGTTGGTTGGCCATTCATTGCTGTGAGATTTCTTTGCCCAGAACTATAGTTGGAGAAAAGACATAAAAAGTGAGAGTGGGTAACCCTGCATTGTGAAAAAATGGAGCTTATTACTAAATGAACTTGGTCACTTCCCCTCCACTCTGTTCCTTTCCATCTTACAAGATGACATGAGACTAGCATGCTAAAGACTCAAACTTGTTTTTTTAACCTGTTGAGGCGAGGCCCCTTGCGCTCATGAGGTCCAAGGCTGGAGCCTATGTAGCCTATATGGTTAATCACATGGGGATGTTGGAGAACTCCTGATCTATTTTTAATGACTGGCTTATGGCAAATCTCCAGTTCACCCCATATTAGTAACAGCTCTGCTACTAATATGGGGTGTCTTTTCTCTCAGCATAGATAGTATAGGTAGTTCGGTAGTATTTACCTCACCTCATCACTCTTATACGTGATTGTACGTAAACTGAGAGCTGCTGTTTACCCAAAGACAAACTGATCCTTTGCCCCCTTCCTTCCTAGGCTACTATTGCTACATGTGACAAGCATTCGTACTTGACATGTCAGCTATAGACCTTTTTTGTGTTTGTAAACAGAGATGATCTGTTTTGTGGGCAGAGCTTAACTGGTGGCAGAAGGTGACAGTTAGCATAGTGGTGTGAGGTGTAGGAATATAGGAATATGGATCCTCTGGAGGCCTTTTCCAGTTCTTTTAATGGTTTGCCACTAATAAGCTAACCCATTACAATGGGGTGAGGCTTCTTGACCCATACTCACTGTCAGGTCAGTGGGTCAAGAATCCAACTAAATGGCCAAAGTTACAGTGGCTGGACATCTTCGTGTACCTTGTGGAAAAACTCAGCACCTGTACAAAAGAAAAACTCAAGGCATACAAATCTCTTGGCACATACAGTTTTTTACTTTGTGTGTACAAAAACACATGAAGGCTTTGTCAGCTAGCCAGATGTGCTAATTAGGTACTTTAGCCACATTACCTTGAAGCATTCATATGTAATTTTTGACATGTTTAACTGGACAGTGTTCATGGGATATCGACTCTTGTACCACAAGCAGAACTCTTAAAACTTGTCAGAGGTGCCTGTGCATAGTTACAATTTATAAAATACAAACGTTTTTAACTGACATACTTAACATACATTTAATTGACACACAAACATACTTCACCAGTAAGTCCTGACTGTGATTCTGATTCTCTCTTAGTGCTGGCCAGAGACTGCGACACCGGTCTGAATGCAGAGATCTCCTACTTCATCCAGAGTCTGGACTTCAGCGTCTCAGCTCAGGGGGTGGTGAGTCCCAGCCGGAAACTTGATTACGAGAGGCCCAATCACATGTATGAGTGTGTGGTGGTGGCTGTGGACAAGGGCACCCCCGCCCGCACCGGCACCGCCTCCATCCGCATCCGCATGGCCAACGTCAACGATGAGGCGCCTGTCTTCTCCCAGACTGTGTATGTCCATTCTGTCTCTTTCTACATATCACACTTACAGTCAGAGTTTGGGGAAAACTTGCCTTGTCACATTAGTTTAAAGGGGAGTAAAACAAATCTGCATAATTCAGTGGTTGACAACAAACTTACTGGTTTGATGTGAAATAGAACCAGGAGGTCACGATCTCTACAATACAAATTAAGCCATTTTATGTACTACCCAAATCCAGTGGACCTACATATGTCTTTCCAGCTTCATGTGTAATATTGATGATGGTAAAATAGTAGTAGTGGAGCTAAAAAAAAAAAGTTTTCTTTGGAGTTTATTTTGCCTTACAACGCCCTGCATGTATCAAAACTACTGTAAAACTTTAGCTTTTAGGCCTTAAACTCTTCAAATGTCTTGTTCCAAACAGCCCTACTGTGAACAATTAGAGCACATTAAGCCACTCTGAATCACTTTCTTTACATCTTAATGATTAAGTTGAAATGAAAGCGGTGGAAACTCAGTAAAAAAATAAGTAAATAAATAAACAAAACTGCAAATGTTTTATTAACATTCAGCTTCTTGATTTTTATCATCTTCCATGATATGAAGAGCAGGTTTTACCTAAATAATGATATGACAATTTTAAAACTATTATTAAAAGACACATTGAAAATCTTTGGCATTAGGGTAGTTTAACCCTCTGGGGTTCACAAACTCACTCGTACATCAAATTTTATGTTTTTGTATATGTTTCTCTGTCGTTATAATAATAAAGAACAAAAATACAGTTCAAACATTTCCTGAATCTGTAGCATATGCACATCTTATCATGAGACCTAACATGACTCACATCCAGAGTTATGAGGCTACGAAGAGGCTTTGAGATATAAGTCATCTGCCTTTCATCGTGTGTAACTGCTGGATTTGTGTGTCTGTCTATATTTTGTGTGAAACTGACCAATGGACACTCAGGAAATAACTAAGGACTTACACATCACGTCAGATGATTCATTCAGTCGACATCAGAGACGTGCAAAGAGTTTCTGCAGTGGTTTTGGAAAGTAGCGATGAAGAAAACCAAGCTTTTTGATATGAAACATGTGAGTATCATGTTATATGCAGGTACCTTTAAAGGCAAATTGAAGAAGATATGCATAAATTGAGAAAAAGCCCCCAGACCCCAGAGGGTTAAACACCAGTAAGGTTTGAGGGCCGGTTAGTGCTGACATCACAAGATGATAACCTGCGGGATTTGTTTTACTTTCAATTTTGTTTTGTTTTTTTGTTTGTTTTTTTTGTTTTTTTTTCAAATGTTGTATTTCTAAGTTAAGTTACCAAACTGACAAAGAAGGAATATTTCTAATTTCAAACATTTCACAAAGCTGGGTGTCCTCAAACCTTTGAAGGCTGTGTATTTTGCTTAATCTATCAGGCAGTCAGCCTTGTCTTGTTCTGTTTCATTCCTATATCATTTAACTCTGTGTTCTGTCCCTCTGATCTCCTGTTTCTGTGAGTACTGTAGTTTGTAGTTCTGATAGCTTCACTGTTTCTTGCTCCTGGTGGTTGGGAATGGGATTTCATGGCCCTTCCAGTGCAGCAGTAAGCAGAACGGCATCAGGCTTGATGGCCCTGGTATTTCTTTAGAGTAGCCAGAAGGAGAAGAAGGCATTTGGACAGATTCAGCAGAAAGACAACAGAGCAGAGCAGCTGAGCTGCTGGAACAGTGCACACAAACACACACACACACACACACACACACACACACACAGTCATGAATTTCACACTGCTGCCAGTACTCAGGCTAGAAGTAAGAGTGAGGACGGCGAAGAGCTAGAGGTTGACTATGATTACTGCTGGGGTCTTTCTCACGAAGGACTTTTAACTTAGCAGTGGTTCCTGACTAAGTTCTAGCTTCACAAAACCTGTCGTAACTGATGTCGTAAAACGAAGCGTAATTTGTTTTATGACAGCAGTTAATGGCTTTTTCTGTTAACCCAGGTTTAAATATTCAGGCTTTGGTGAGTTCTCATGCATCTGCACATAAAAGCATGACATTTAAGACGAATAGCCAATCATGAAACAAGTGGATTGGAGCAGCTTGTTGTTGAAAGAAAAAGGGTTACACTTTACTGTAGGATGAGGTACATAATGCCTGCATAAGCTCAATATGACAACTGATGTAAACCTACCTAAACATTGCATGAATTGGCTCCTTCTGTCAGCTTTCCTGTCAGGTAATATTGATTTTTTTTCCTGACATTGGGCTGTCTCATGACACTTTTTTGGGCTGAAATGACATAGCAAGTCACAACTGACTTTGTAGCTTTGTGTATATTACAGTGACATAATACTAATGATGTGCCTAAATCTTATGAATGATAAGAAGAAACAAAAGGTCATAGAAAATGTTCACTTTCATTCAGCCACCCTAGCTTAGTGAGTTATGTCATATTATCAGTATTATATCTGTGATGTCGTATTGTCAGCATATTACTGTGAGCTACAAAGTATATTTCATTTCACCCTAGAATGTGTCTAATATACTAACCCAGTTCCAAAAAAGTCAGGACAGTATGTGAAATGAAATCAGTGAAAGCAGTGATTTGTAAATCCACTTTGACCTATATTTTAAAAAAGCAATAAAAAGACAAGGTATTTAATGTTTTACCTTATCAACTTTATTATTTTTTGTACATATATGCTCATTCTGAAATTGATGTCTGCAACACGTTCCAAACAAATTTGGAACTGGGGTGATATAGGACTAGGAGCATTGTTAAATGTTCAGACAACGTTTTTTAAACGTCCTGTGTCCACTGATCAAGGACTGGAGGACGACTAACACAAACTGTTCAGCAATAAATGAGCTACTGTCTCTGACTTTACATTTTCAAGGTGGATCAACAAGGTAGGAGTGTCTAATAGAGTGGACAGTGAGTGGACACAGTGTTTAAAAACTCCAGCAGCACTGCTGTGTCTGATCCATTCATACCAGCACAACACAAACCAACACACCACCACCACGTCAGTGTTACTGCAGTGCTGAGAATGATCCACCATCCAAATAACACCTGCTCTGTGGTGGTCCTGCTGGGATCCTGACCATTGAAGAACAGGGTAAAAGGGGGCTAACAAAGAATGTAGAGAAACAGAAGGACTACAGCTTGTGGTTGTAGAACTACAAAGTGAACCTATACAGTAAGTGGAGCTGATAAAATTGAAAAAAGGGTGTTCACAAAGGAGGTGTACTTCATAAAGTATACAGTATATATGACTCTCATGCTCTGACAGAGTATAAAATTGTGTGTGTGAGTGTGTGTGTGTGTGTGTGTGTGTGCGTGTGTGGTAAGTTGTGCTGGTGGTGCTGAGAGTTGCTCCAGTGCAGAAACTGCATGGTCGTTTGTGAGTGCCCTGGGACAAGCTTCAGAGGAAACAGATGGTGACTCTGTGATGTTCAGGGACTGATCTCTCTCTCTCTCTCTGTCTCTCTCTCTTTCTCTCTCTCTTTATCCATCTATCTATCTGCCTATGTCTATCTATCTGTTTACTTACAGTTATAAGACGTTTCTCTCTGAAGATGCTGGTCCTGAGACTCTGGTGGCCATTGTGCATGCCAAGGACCCAGACGGGGACGGAGTGACATATGCCATCACTGGGGGCAACGAGGACAGCAACTTTGAGCTGGACAACCAGAAGGGTGGGTAGAGTCAGTAAAGGAAATCATACAAAACCACACACAGGATTAGAAAGAGGTTAGTGTGGTAACATGACTGAGCTTGTGGCAGTGAGCTAGTCTAAGACCCTCAAAGTCCTTATGCTCAGGTCCAAACCTTTATTATTATACGCTTCTATAACTTTAGAATAACTTAGTGTGCATTGTAGGTCATGTCGTTACTGACTGATAAACCATAGTGTGTAATGAGCTGAGATTTTAAATGATTAATGCTGTTGCTCAGTGCTGTTGTCACATATATTTTGATATGTAAAGATTATGATTGCATGATTATGTATTCAAAGCCAAAAAAATCATTCAAAAATGTCATTTAGTGTAAGAAAACTACAGTTCTGAACAAGGAAACATATGAATATAAATACACTTCACACTTCAAGGACTTCTAATTGTTATTCTGATTAAATAAATAATTAAAAAGCCCTTCATGATGTGACGTGAACTTGTGAATTCAGTTCTGTGTCGCTCACTCAGATAATATCACAGAACATCCAAAAATAAAGGCAGTATCCTGATTCATTTGACTTTGCTGAATGTGCACAGAACTAGTCTACAGGGCAGATTTGAATGAATTAAAGTGTGGTAACCAAATTTTGTACCATTTACCTCTTACCTGCTGGCTTTCCGTGAAAAATAAACATCGTTTGTGCTGTTTCAGGCAGCTCTCCCTACACAACCCCTGTAAGTTAAGTTAAGTTAACAGTTAAGTTATGGTTAAGTCTGTCTATAAGGCTGTGTATGTGTGCACCGGTGTGTATATCTGGATATATTTAGTGTCAAGGTTACATTTGTCTATAATCTTTCCTGTTCTTGTTTCTTAGTTGCTCGAAAGCTGATAACAAGAGCTCTCTCCATTCACTGGCCTCACTGCCCTGTAGCACTGCCTCTGTGCATATTACACTCTTGCACACATACACACACATGGCCTCGGGCTTCTGCACTGTACAGTCTTCAAAAACTGACTTCAAAGCCTTCATCAGTGTATTTATTGTACTGCACCCAACTGCAAATTTAGAGAGTGGGTTTGTTTGGGAAGTGGATTGTGCATGTTGTAAGTCAGACCTTCTGTAGGTTTTAACGGATTCTGTAAGTAGTTTTCCACATGTGTGATGTGTGCATGTGTAGGTGTGTGTGTGTGTGTGTATGTGTATACATGTGCTTCTATGATGATGGCTGGATGTCGATAAAATATTTTCAATTTTGATACCAATACTGATAACTTAATTTTGACACCAACTCCTGAAGTATATTTTGATATCTTCTTTAAAGAGCCCATACCCTATATGCCATATAATGTTTGTATAGTTTTGTGTGGCAAAAACAGCCATAAATCATTTTTACAAGATTATTTTCCAACCTCATTTTAAGCCCTTAGAAATAACAAAGCTGGTTTTGGTCCTGGGTCTTTAAGACTGATATATATATATATACACATGTGCTCTGTTTTGATTGGCTGCCCTGTATTGAAACTCATTCAAAAAATTGCAGGCCAAAACACTCCCTATAACTTAATGTGAATGGGCAGAGTTTAACTGCTGTAGGCCAAATAGGGGGATGTGTGTAAACATGTTGGTTTTTGTGACATCACAAAAAAAATGAATTTAAAACAAGCTTTTTTTGCAGCGTAAAACTGGCATAGAATCTTTACATTATTCTGTAAACCTTTAAAAAGGTTCATCACACTCACATATCTCTTCTTCAAACATGGTTCTTTCAGTCTTACAATGCAGACTCTTGTCATAGGGAAATAACTCATGTTGTATATTTTTTGTGCTAGGCATAATCAAACTGCGCCGCAGTCCTCCTCCTAAACTGCGAGGGCCACAGTATGTCCTCAACGTCACTGCAACCGATGACAACTCGGCCGGCGGCCCACTGCCCCTCAGCAGCTCCGCCCAGGTCATCGTCGGCATCAACGACATCAACAACAACAAGCCTGTGTTTGAGGAGGTGAGACCTCTCATTCAGCAAATGCTCATAGTCTCACCTCATGAAAACATGAAAATGTACAGACAAACTGAGAGAACTTAATTAGCACAGGACAGCTAAGAAAGACCCATAACAAGAAACGCTACATTTATTGGACTCTAAGATTGCCAAGACTATTAAGATTTTGTCACTTACACTCTGATTGGGCAGCTGCACTGATGTGTAAGTTGATAGCTTGAAGGCGAGAGCTGGAAGCAAGAGAGTGCAAGTGGAGAGTGAGCTTTTAGCCAACTGCCTTGCTTATTACACAGTGTGGCTGTGGCCAACTACAGCCCTTTCATAAAGCACAATGACCTGTGCATAAACTCTGTGACCTTATTTATAGTGGAACAATACAATATTTTACTCTGTGTTCCCTGGGACTTTAAGCGGTAGCTGGGGGCAGGAGGGCACAGGTTTAATGTTTGTTTTGTGTTTTTCAGTTTGGTTCACTTTTCTGCAGTATCTCTGCATTAGTGGAAAGCTTTGTACATTTGTCTCCAATAAAACCAATAATACTTAAAAATGTATTTTAGGTTACTGATTACATGATAAAAATGTAATCTGTGGCCTCGTTAAAAATACTATATTAATAAGATAATCGTAATGCAGATACCACTAGATGTACACATAATAATATCTAGTTGACCAGAGAAGAGGAGGAAAAGAGAGTTGGATGAGAATGGTTAACAGAGAAAGAAAAGAAGACAAGCAAGAGACTGATAGAATGAGTTCAAAACGATCAAATGCAGTAAAGAGAAAGAGATGAAAGGAAGAGTGAGGGTGATGGAGAAGCTGAGAGAGACAGATAAAGAGAGGGAGAGAAAGTTACAGATGGATGAAAGGGACTTTTTTTGGAATTTGAGTGCTGTAGAGAAGGGAAGAGAGGGATGAGGGACAGCTGGTAGAGGGAGATCTGAGAGCTGTGTGTGCTCTCTGGTGGGCTAGCAGGGTCTCTGTAGCATGGGGAGAGAGTTAGAGGAGCGGAGGGGGCAGTAAAGCCCCTGTCCCCACTGCCCTGGGCTGGCCAGGCCAGCGCCTCGCCATTGCTGCTGCTGCTGCAGTGCATGAATATTTCAGGGTGGGGAGATTAGCCCCAGGCAGTGTGGATGCATATGAAAGAGGAGCGCTAAGTGCGCCCAAGAGGCAACATCTGGCCCCTCTCCAGCCCCCACTGCCCATCTCTGTGTTAGGGGTGGGCAATACGATGATATGATACCGTTATTATGATCAATTAAATAGCATGTAGTGAGGACAGGAAATATTGAAATATTATTGGCCTCAACAGCCTGTTTTGAATTGACTGTTTTTGTGATGTCACAAAAACCAACACCTTTAACATCTGCCTATTCAGCCTACAGCAGTTTAGACCCTCTCATTCATGTCAACGTTATAAGGGGTATTTCAGCCAGGACTACACAACACAGGGCAGCCAGTCAGAGCAGATGACACTTACATATTTCAGTCTGAAAGGCACAATAACAAAAACAGCCTGTTTAATACTTAAAGATGAAGAGAGGTAGGAAAACGGTCATGTACAAATGAACTATGACTGTAGATTGGTACACAGAACCACACAAATGTCAGTAGTGAACATGAGTGGGAAAAATAAAATACAAGAAATATGTAGGATTTGGGCCCCTTTGTCAAGTGGTAGAAGGTCAATTTGAATCCCAGCGATGCTGGGAGTCCATGACTGGTACAGTGTAGTACTACACTGGTGCATTGTTTCCATCCCAATTTATCAAACCTCAAAGACACTAAATACTGCATTACATATTGTGTATTGTGAAAGTGTCTTAAAGTATTGTGATATAATATTCTTGCCTTGTTGCCTATCCCTACTTTGTATGTCTGACCAGAGGATTGTATTCATGAAGCTTCTCAGAGTAGGACAGCTGATATAGGATCTGCTGCTGTCAGTAAAATCATCGTAAACAGGAGAAGAATCTGATTAGCACTCCTACACTGAGTAGCTTTGTGAATATGGGCCCAGGCCTTCTTCCCAGTGCTTGCCATGCAAGTGGAGCGATCGAAGCAGGCCACAGAATGGATAATGCGGCCTCTTCATGATGGCACGCCCCCATTGCTTCTCTCTCCTGCCCAATACACGCCTAACCGCCTGCTGCTTTGCAGTCAATGCTTGTCTCTGCTCCTAATTGCACAATAGATTACAGCAATAGACTATCTGTTAAAGTGTTTTCCCTGGCTAAACTGAGAAATCCTCCCTAAGCCCCCCTGCCTTCCCCAAAGTGCGTGCGTGTCTCTGTATGTGTGTGCACTGAAAGACAATGAGAAGTGCAGAATATGAACTGCTCAGCGAGGTTTTTTTCCACAAAGGTGGGGCGATTTCAGCCTTTTAGCCCCTCTATTGATCCAATTGATCAATTAATCGGCCCACTTTGAAACGTGCTCCCTGGTGGGTACTGCATGGCAGGGTGCTCCCCCCAGTGCTTCGATGATAGTGAGAAAAGAGCGTAGAGGGAGAGAGAGATGAAAGGAGGAGTGTGAGAGAGTTTGAAAACATTTGTGAGACAGTTTGCAATCAGCGTTCAAATAATTTGCCATCAATAACATACAAACAGCTTAGTTTCATTTCATGTAGAAAGTTTTTTTGAAAATGCAGGTCCTGCAACTTTACAGGTTTCAAATTCCCAAGAAACCTGGAGGAAATTTTAGATGTGTCTAGAATGAAGAACCAACCTGTAGACCGTTCTAAAATAATCAAAAAAGCTAAGTTTTAAGTTAAAATATCTATAGTGCCTCATATTTCATAAGTGGAAATGAATTATTGGCAGAAATTTTGACAAAACATATTGTACATAGACAATTATATGATTATATGAATAATTGTATCATTGAACAGAAAACAGAGAGTCTCTACTCTTCTGATAAGGCTTTACACTAGATGTTGGAACATTGCTGTGAGGATTTGACTGCATTCAGCTGCATTCAAGAGTGAGGTCAGGTACTGATGTTGGATTAACTCCATTTCAACTCATCCCAAAGATATTGGATGCAGCTCCATCACTCCAGAAAGCACAGTTTCACTGCTCCAGTACCCAGTGTTGGGAGGCTTTATACCCCTCTAGCTGATGCTTGGTATTGGGTATGGTGATCTTAGACTCATGTGTGGCTGCTCCAGAGTATTATAGTCTAAGTATATTATACTATACTAAGCTAAACACCTGGGTCAGCAATGGGTGCACCTTAAAAAAAAGTATACTTATGGTACCTATTTTGTAATATTTAAATGTACATTGTAAAAATGATTATTTCTAATATTAATTATTACACTTGCTTGTTACTTGTTTTTCCTTCCTCAGTGTCATAACTACAGTTTGAACGCTCTGGTGCTGGAGAACCAGCCACCAGGCACTGTGGTCCTGCGGGTACAAGCTCATGACGCTGACACCGGGGTTAATGGAGAGGTCAAATACGGAATCATGCAGCGAGACGGAGCCTCACCGGGCTTCACCATCGACCCTGACACAGGTACAGGCTGTCTCAATACAGGTACACACAGCATGTTAGAAGGAACACTGTCTCCAAACTCCAGACGTGAAGGACATAGCTTTTGTTTCCCTCCTATATGAAAGCAAAATCCTTTATGATGAAGCAATTCTATGTCTTCTTGACAAAACTGAGAAGTTTTTAGCTTTAAACTGAGATTTCTCATGTATCTCATTCAAATCCCCCAAGAAAAGACCAGACAACTTTGCCTCAACTTTTGAACTGACTTCATTGTATTCTTATAGCTTTCCACTACAATGATCTACGTGTGGAAGACTGAACTATAACCTTGCTGAAGTGATCGTGTCAGATCTGACTTAGCTATGTACCAAATTTAGTCTCTTCTTTATCTTTTCATTGCTCCCAAGAGACCTTTTGTGAAATAAACAACACTGCAAAGAAATGTATCTTGGCAAGTGAAATCATCGTTAATCTAAGCAATATATGCTATATTTTTAAAAGTTTCTAGAAACTCATCCAACATTTTTTCTGATGTTAAGGGGATTCATTCGGAGTTTGTCCCTTTTTGCTGCAGTAACAGCCTCTACTCTTCTAGGAAGACTTTACACTAAATGTTGGAACATTGCTGTGAGGATTTGACTGCATTCAGCCAAACAGAGCATTAGTGTGGTCAGGTGCTTATGTGAGATTTTGAGACTGCACTCAAGACTCAACTCACCACAGAAATTTTGGAGCTCCATCACTCCAGAGAACACAGTTCCACTGCTCCACAGCCCAGTGCTGGGGGGCTTTAGTCCCCTCTAGATGGTGCTTTGCACTGGGCATGGTGCATGTAATTCCAGTGACAGATAATCTTATCCCACTGGCAGATATTTTGCTTGTTTCAAGGTATATTTTTGCAGTGGAGCCTTAAATGGATCTTAGATTATGCTAAAATGACATCAGAAAGAACATGCAGTGAGCAGCAAATTGTCCTAAGGGCTGCTCTAACACATCTGATTTAGGTTGTGATAATCTCTTAATGATATCATTAGCAGTGTTACCGGGGCTAACACGTGAAGCTCTGCAGTGCAGCAGTCTTAATTGGAAAATACACTGAAAGAGCATTTTATTATGTTTGGGTTTGGGTTCCACTTTATTTAAATAGTCCCCTAGAGATTGTCTTCACATGTTCAAATTCTCAACAGTGTTAGTGTTTGGATTAGAACTAGATATAGGGTTGAGGTTAAGGTAAGGGTGGGGATTAGGGTCTGGGACAGAGTTAGGAAAGATTAAGGTGTGTTTCATAGATATTCAGTAAGTTATGCATCCGCAAAGCTTCTACATGAGCTATCCAAATAAAGCGTTATCAGAGTTTGCACTTTCCTATTATACACTAAACACAGAAGCAGTGTGAAGAGGTCTGAATGTGCTTTGAGGCTGCAGTTTGTATGCTGTGTGTTTGTGTTGCACAGGGGTGATCAGCACAGCTGTGAGTTTTGACCGTGAGCGGCAGAGAGAATACACATTGTCCGTCACGGCCACGGACCAGGCCGAGGAGCCACTCATCGGCATCTGCCAAATCACCGTCCTCATCGCTGACCAAAACGACAACGACCCCAAATTTGAGAACAGCCGCTACCAGTGTAAGGGGCTCAATGACCACTGCTGTGTCTGTGTCTGTTTAGCACCCACAAACTCTGTTCCTCTTAATAGAGTTATGTTATAGCTGAAGCTTGGGGGGAGGAACAGGCCTGAACCCCCTCCTTCTTCCAATCTAATGCCCTGTAAATTTAAATCCTCACCTTCCGTTCCTGTGACGAAAGGTTTGCAATCCCCACCACCACCCCTTCTCCTCCATGTTCCTCACTCTATGAGGGGGGAGGTTCTGGCCTTCTGGCCTAGCTATAGGCAGAAGCTGTCCAGAACTCCAGCCCAAGTTCTCAGAGTTCAGAGTTTTGATCACTGACTGTAGTTTTTATGAATGCCATTAGAGATGGTTAGAGGAGACTGGGGGGCATATCAGAGATACAGTTATAAATTTTGGCCAAAACTATTTGTTATTCCTTTTTTTTGATGCTTGTACTGAAATCATTAGGCCCTTGATTTTGTGAAAATCCCTGTGATGTTGATTTAAATACAAAGCAAGTCTTAGAACTTCCCAGGAAGCAGAACCTGCATTATGTACATGAGGGTTGCTTAGTTAGCTTTGTGAAGATGAGATTTAGGGAAGATTTAGATTGAAAACAACAATATCTAATCTGTATATACAGGAAAAGCTCATTTTTATTATGTTCCCTTTGCATTCACATGGTCTGAAGGGGTCTTGCAGGCTCCCATCCTGTCTTCCTTTTCATTACCCAAGCTGTGACACAAAGAGATTGGAGTGGTAATGATTGACTTTCCACTCAGATCCTGACCACTCCTTAAACATTTATACTGCAGCTTTTTACTTCACATTACCAGAGCCTGAGTTTGCTGCCTTAACACATTTTCAAACCGGAGGTTCCAGTCTAGCCTGTGTGCATTAGACCTGTATATTAAATATGTAGAGTGATTTGACTAAGGTAAGCTTTAGCGGTCCAAACTCTGTGATGCTACTTCATCTTAAGTTAACGTTAGAATACTTGAAAGCAGGGGGGTAAGGAGTATTTCTCTCTGTCTCTCTCTGTTCCTCTAACAGATTGGTGTTTGTTTACGATGTGCGCAAATATGTGTTTGATAAGTTTGATGTCAGAATTCCTTTTCATCATATTAAAAGCGGAGTGCCGGAGTGGCTCATGAAGTATTTAGCATGGAGATTGAAACGTTTCTGGGGCATGCATTCATTTGTGCTGCAGCAGGGATTGTGACAGCAGCAGCCGTTTGGTGTTGTTCAGGCAGTTGTTGTTGTTTTCTGACACCTGTGCTGATGTTTACTCTTCCCCTGCCAGACTTCCTGAGAGAGGACACCCCAGTGGGCACCAGCTTTCTGCGAGCGGCGGCCCATGATGATGATCAGGGCACCAATTCAGCCATCACTTACTCCCTGTCCCACCAGAACCCTGCCTACTTCCACATTAATCCCAGCACAGGATGGGTCTACGTCAACCACCCCATCTCACAGGTGCATCCTGCAGCTCTGTGCTCACTTAAAAGCCTGATTCGAGCTGTATTTGTTTAACATAATTTAAGTGATTACTGATATCTGTGATTTAAATCCAGTGTGAATTTGTAGTGTGTGCAGTTTTTACAAGTCTGACAGTAGTAGTCAGACAGACATCCTGTGTTATAATATCAATGACCATGCTCCATGTTGTTATTGTTATTGAGTAACATTTTAATCCAGGCTGTCTACAGTCAGTCAGGGCTGTTATGCAGATACTTTATCCTGAACGAATTGTCCAGTCACATCTCTAATAATAAAGCAGTAAGCCACAAGAAGTTGAACATTACAGTGATTTTAAACAATGTTGTTTGGCAGTAAAACCTCTTAATAACAGGAGGTAAACACTATAATGTCACTAGGGATAAACTGAGTGAATAACCGAACCCTCACTCACCATGTTGCCAGACTAACATACTACGCAGCATGCCACCGAAGCGGGATAATAGCTGTGCTAACTAAAGACTTAAAAGGATGATCCAAACTAAGAGCTCTCCGAAACTGAAACCAAAAACTCCCTTCTTTTATCTCTCCCTCTCCTCTCCTTAAACTTGGAAACTGAAACACGCTCAAACTTACGCTGGAGAGCAACTAGAGAAAAGCAAAGACTCGAAGCAGATACCGAGATTAGTGGCCGAGTCAGAGCAACATGCTCGTAGCAGCGTGAACTCGAAACTGAGCGCTGAGCGGCATGTGAGCATCCCTTAAGTAGTCTCAGTGTTACTTTTACGTTTCTTCCCCACTGGCTAGAAACACACATAAAAGAGAGACAGCATGGTATAGCTATCTTTACTGTTGTATTTTTATCATTTTTGTTTGCCAAATTCAATATTTTGCCAAAAAAGATTTTTCAAAGTAAATTACATTACAGAACCTCGCCTGGTAAATCTAATCCATTTCAAATAGTGCTTAGGACAGTGGTCTCCAGCCCTGGTCCTGGAGAGCTACCTTCCTACACAGTTTAGTTTCAACTTGTATCCAATAAACTGGCTCACCCTTTACTTAACTCTAACACATCTGATCCAGCCAATCTGGGACTTGGGAAGAGGTTGATTAGCTGGAGCAGATGTGGCAAATTGTGGCTGGAACTAAGCTGTGTGGGACCAGGGTTGGAGACCAGTGGCTTAGGATTTACAAAAATAAATCAAACATATGTTACATTAATGCCTTGTAAAATCCTGCGTTTTTCTATGAATGTAAGATTTTACTAGGCTTTAGACATTTTAACATGTGCGCATTGCCATGATATTACTATGCCAGGCATCATGTGAAAAGCTTGTTTCTGCACGTTAATGCTCCAAGCTCCCAAATACAGTTGTGTAGGTCAAGGGTCAATGTAAACTTCCAGCTGTGAATTCATTCTCTGCTCAGTTTTGTCTGTATTTGAGGTCTGAGTCGGCCTCGCTGCACGATACATGGACAGTGTAGCTATCTTCTTCAGTGCTTTGGGGTACAAGTTAGTCACATACACTTCCATCAAGCTCTCTAGGTGCCTCTGAGTGAAAAAATCTATCTGTCTAGCTCTTCAAAACTGTGTCAAGTTGTACTGGAATTTTTAATGAGAGTATTACATTTGGAAGGAGGATGAATCTGGCAGCCTCCTGTAAGAATAGATCCTTGTTTCTCTCAGAGACTGTGCTGCTGCTGCTGCAGCTGATGTAGGTATACTCAGGGTAAGCTGCCTGTGTATGTGCGTGCGTGCACATCCCCGCTTCTCTTGATATCTTCCACAGAGACCAGCGCTCACCTCTGTCTTTGTTCTCTCCCTCAGCATTTGCATATTAAACATGACACGTTCCAGAAGAACACCTCAGCCGCGTCTGTATATATATATCTATACAAACGTGCCGGCAGGAGAAAGCATTGTATTCTCCCATGCATAAATACATTCATGGGGAGCTGTTTCTGACATTTCACCGTTATCCTCTAGGCACCCAGCGAGATGCTGTTTATTTATGGGGAATGGGCTCTGCTTTCTGCCTCGGCTGCTTTCACTCCTCCTTCATTTACTCACTCATCCCTTCTTCTCTCCCTCCCCTCTTTCTTTGTATCCTCACTGTTTCTCATATGCTATAGCATACCCTGTCTGTTTTCTCTCTATTCTGTATTATTTTTACAGTTTTTCTTTTTCTTTCTTTCTTTCTTTCCCTCTATCCCTGTCCTTGCTTCTTTCTTTCTTTCTTTCTTTCTGTCTTTCTTTCTTTCTTTCTTTCCTCCTCTTTATCCCTTTTTGTCTTTTTGTTGTTTCTCACATGGTATTGCATACCTTATATGAGCTCCCTTTTCTTTTCTTTTCTTTTCCTTTCTTTTCTTTTATTTTCTTTTCTTTTCTTTTCTTTTCTTTTCTTTTCTTTCTTTCTTTCTTTCTTTCTTTCTTTCTTTCTTTCTTTCTTTCTTTCTTTCTTTTTTCTTTCTTTCTTTCTTTCCTTCTTTCTTCCTTTCCTCCTCTCTATCCCTGTTTGTCTTTTTGATGTTTCTCATGTTATTGCATACCTTATATGAGCTCCCTTTTCTTTTCTTTTCTTTTCTTTTCTTTTCTTTTCTTTTCCTTTCTTTTCTTTTCTTTTCTTTTCTTTCTTTCTTTCTTTCTTTCTTTCTTTCTTTCTTTCTTTCTTTCCTCCTCTTTATCCCTATTTGTCTTTTTGATGTTTATCACATGGTATTGTGTACATTATATGAGCTCCCTTTTCTTTTCTTTTCTTTTCTTTTCTTTTCTTTTCTTTTCTTATACTTTCTTTCTTTCTTTCCTTCTTTCTTTCTTTCTTTCTTTCTTTCTTTCTTTCCTTCTTTCTTCCTTTCCTCCTCTCTATCCCTGTTTGTCTTTTTGATGTTTCTCATGTTATTGCATACCTTATATGAGCTCCCTTTTCTTTTCCTTTGTTTTCTTTTCTTTCTTTCTTTCTTTCTTTCTTTCTTTCTTTCTTTCTTTCTTTCTTTCTTTCTCCTCTTTATCCTTATTTGTCTTTTTGATGTTTCTCACATGGTATTGTGTACCTTATATGAGCACACTTTTCTTTTCTTTTCTTTTCTTTTCTATTCTTTTCTTTTGTTTTCTTTCTTTCTTTCTTTCTTTCTTTCTTTCTTTCTTTCTTTCTTTTTCTTTCTTTCTTTTCTCTGTGTGCTGTGTGTGTAAATGTCATCTCCTCCTGTTTCTCAGTTTAGTCGTGTCTGGCTGTGCTCTGTCATTTCCGTGCAGGTTATATAAAACCTGAGGCTCCACTGTCTGACATTAAGAGAGCTCTGTGGACACAGACAGTAGTGGACAGGCAGACAGGCCGCACTCAGACTGTCCTCAGCAGCACGGTAGAACTGGCTGAGCCGCAGCAGTAGCCATGATGAATTAGCTGCATGGTGCAGCATTGGAGATGCAGTGAGGAGCGTGCACTCTATGTGGCAGCGCCATTACAAAGACCCCAATCCCCTCATTCACACACACACACACTGATCAGTACCTGTGGTGGGACAGGGGTGGACCTCAGTTGAAGCATTACTAAATTAAATTATTAATCCAACCCCTTTTCCCTTTTTCTCTTGTCTCAGTCAGGGATCGAGTTAGATGAAGCCTGAGGGGCTATTGGGGAGCAAAAGGTTATAAGGATCATAGCCCCCTTCTTTTGTCTGTGGATGCCCCCCACCCCTTCTCCCTCTATCTCTGTCGTGATTATCTCTGTGGAGTTTGTTATGGTGTGTGGGGGTCCAGACCGTGTTTTCCATTTTCTTTAAAGCGCAGCCCCCTATTTGTCAGGACTGATCACAGCTGGAGAGGCAAGAGACGTCACCTGCACTTAACTCACCTGCCCTCAAACTCACAACTTTTATTACTCTCTCTCTCTCTTTGTCCTCTCTATCTCTCTATCTCTCTCTCTCTGTGTCTCTCTGTCTCCCTCTCTACCCTGTCGCCCCCCCCTTTCTTATTTCTCTGTCTGTTCCTCTCTTACATGTACATTCTTTGTCTCGTTCTGTTTTTCTTTCTCTCTCATCTCTTATCTCTCTATATCTATATATACAGTGCATACAGTACTTCTTACTGTCTCTCTCTGTCATCTCTCTCACTTGTCTCTCTCTGTCTCAGTTATTGGCCTCTCACTCTCTCTCTCTCTCTCTCTCCCTCTCCTTCTCTCTCTCTCTCTCTCTCTCTCTCTCTCTCTCTCTATCCGTCTGTCTCTCTTTCTTTTGTCCTTTTTTCCAGTCTGACCTGAAAAGAGGCTGGTTTTTGGAGCCTGTTAAGCAAAGTTTTACTGCTGACTCAACTTCAAAAGTGCTTCTCTATTATTAATAGAACAGTGGTAATTTGAATGAAACGGTGTGGAATATGTAGTACAAGCGCATTCACCTCTTTGTTCTGCAAGGCCTCAGCCTTGAAAGTCAAATTAAGAAGCAAAATATATAGCAGCTCGGAGAACAGGTCCGTCTACACCATCGCTCAGTGTACGTTTGAAGTCTTGCTCCCATTGTCCAATGAATAATGCTGACTATTCTTCAGTCTTAAATGTCAGGGATTTCTCTTTCTGCCATTGTAAAAATCTTTTGAACAAAGCTGTCAGACCTCACACTAGCAAAAAAAAGTCATCAAACTCTGGTAGTACTGGGAAAGAAAAGCTGCCGTATTTTTTCTCATGTGTTGGGCTTTCATTAAAAATCGATCCCTCAGCTTTAGTGTTCATGGTTGTAAAGGCTGAGGCTCGGCTGGGATAAAGCCTGAGCTCGGTTTGGGTTCTGAACCCCCTTTCTGTTTTGGTCCCTCCAGACGTCGAGAATCAGTCAGCAGATCATTGCCACAGATGGAGGAAATCGCAGCAGCTCAGTGGACCTCACCGTCATCATCACCAACGTGCACAACCAGCCACCGCAGTGGGAACAGGCCGAGTACTGGGTCACCATCCCTGAAAACACCGTCCGTGACAGCAAGATAGTGGTGAGTGCTCCCAAGCTGTCAATCTCAGTGGGTTTTCAATCCATCTCATTTTGCGAATACACATTTTTAAACATGGACATTCAAAAATATGAATGGAAAAGCCAGGCATTTAAAAAAAAAAATCTCACAAAATAAGTTTTTACCTTTATTTGAGGTGGAAAAGCTGACTTATCGATCAAAGTGAAATGCGAAAAATTGATTTTTTGAATAACTTTTGGAGTGGGATTAAAAGGCACTGTGAGTGCTGTTTGTCCCGGGGGTTTGGTGGGTGTCGGCAAAGTGAGACAGCACCTTCGGCCTTCATTAGATGGTCCACGGCAGCATTTCTGAACTGTTAGGACTGCAGACATGTCCAGCTGACAAAACTGCCCTACAAAGAGTCAAAGTTCAAATGCCTCCATCATAGGTAACATTTGAGACCTATGTCAGTGGGGGCAATCCATCTCAGTCAACTATATAGTACGTATAAAACCTATATTTAGCAAAAAAACTCTGTTTATCAAAGTATAAACAATGTCCTACCTTAGTGAAGTGCAAGACGACGACCCCTGGGCACGGCATCAAATGTACTGACTGTTTTTTTCCAAGTCCACATGAATGGCCCGTTCAATATTCAGCACTGCAATTTCAGACAGTCTCTCCTGACTCATAGCGTTTCTCATGTAAGTTTTCAATTGACGCAAGCAAGAAAAGTTTCTTTCAGATGACGCCCTGCTGATTGGCACGGTCAGGAAAAATTTAAAGAGGTTAGCAATGTTTACTAGGCTATTGCCTGGATCTGATGCTTTAAAAAGTGCTAATTATTGATCAAAGCTGATTTATTCTGATGGCGTAGCGTTGGAGAGGGAAGTGTAAAAAGAGGAGTTTACAAAACTGGAGTTAAAAAATGATCATCTTTGAAGGAGAGGGGCTATCAAGCTGCTTCAGATCTGAAAAAACCCACAGGTGTTTCTGTCCATCCTTCCAAACAGTCAATCAGACTTAATTTAAACTCAGAGTACATTGAAGGTGACCCTCATTTACAGGGTGGCTAAGCATTATACAAAAACCTGTGATAGTAAATATATAGCAAAGAAAATAAAATATGATCTAGAAATTATTATTAAAACAATACATTAAAATAAAAATTTGAAAACTTTAAGACAATACGACAAGAAGGGTAAGAACAAAAACATATTGTAGAAGACAAAACAATAATGGTAACAGAAAAATTTAAAGTAATAAAAAGAAGTCAAATAAATGACAACAATGAAAATAATTAATACATCAACCAAGAAAACAACTAAAATAGATAATATAAATGAACTCAAATATAAAAAACTAAATAAACTAAAACTGTTGCAGGCTGAGTGGAGATGGTTAGAGATTAAAAGTTTAAAATGGTCCAGTGACACCAGCGAGTGGGGTTTTAGAGTTTCCTGTGATAAATTCCAACTGCAGCTAAAAGTAGATTTTCCCAGTTCAGTAAAAGCTCTCGGCACCTGAAAGATGATCCAGTCACTTGAACAAGTTTGATAATTTTAATTATTTACAGAGAGCACTGATGTGATGTAAAATGGCAGGTGGCCAGTGAGCACTCCTTTTTCCTGCCGCACCGCCAGAGAGGACCAACCTACTTTTTGATACAGTGTGTTTTAGGAGGACAAATCTATAAAATCTGTTTATAATCACATCCGAAAGAATATGTGGTTGCCAAGAAGCTGTTACTGAGAAAATGTTCAAATCAAACAATGAAGCTGCTAATGCTTTCAGAAACAATTAACTGACCACCCCAGAGTCCAGGCCACAACATCACTGATTGCAACCAACTTCTAAGACTGAACTTTGGAGTTGTGTAAAAATATCCCTCCAGATTTCTTTGAGATACTGAAAGCAAGTCAAGAATAGAAGCTGTAATAAAGATACAGAGTGGACACACTAAATACTGAAAAAACTGATATTTTGAGTTGTTGTGGTTTCTGTGTGATTTTCTGTTAAATACATGCTTTCTCTGTTTTTCCTGACGCTGAAAAATGAATGACTTAATGGCTGTTATGACTGGAAATTAATTAAATGAAAGGCTGATATTTGACTTTGGCACACTACTGTAGATTGCCATGTCACTGCCAAAACCCATTTATTATTAACCAGAACTGATAAGACTGTTGTGTTGTGTCTGATCTCGGTCCTGCAGTGCAGCTGTGATGTGCTGAGTGTGTATGGTCATGCCGAGTTAGGGTTAAATACCTGGACTGGAAATGTGGCTCCTCTGTTGCAGAGGCTTGTCACATCTTATCAGGCTTATATCTTGTTTGCTATTTCAGCTTGTTTTATCTGCTGTCAGATTTTACAATCGTCTGAAAGCCTTTACAGTCAGAGAGAGGCTCGCGCCAACAACCCTCATCTGTCCACCTAACTCAGGCAGACTGCTTGTCGGAATTTTCTCTTCTAATACATTCAAATGGGGTGAAAAAGCCCCAGTGCCCACCAACCCCCCTCTTTCTTGCTTACTCTCTCTCTCTCTGCCCCTCCTCCACCCTATGAGGTCGATTCATCAGTAAAAAAAGGCCAGTAGAAGTTCCAATTTGACCCCATCAGCAGCTTCTTCCTGATATTCTGCAGCGTGTACAAGCATGATTACTCCACTTTTTTATGTTGCCACAGGACGTGAAAGAGGCTTAGGTGGGATGTTTGAGCAGAAAGTGCCGTTTCCACCACAGGCGAGAGAACAGGAGGATGTATTGACTTAGCTTAGCCGTGAGGGTGCACACTTTGCTTTGCTAGTCATTTTTGCTAACATGTTTGCAAAGTGCCCCAAGCCTTTATCCACAGCAAGTGATCCTGATTGAACTCACAGAGCTCTGGCCAGGGGCGGTCGGGAGAAGTTTCTTTTACAGGGGTGCTGAAACATTTGAAATGGGGGGTATAAATATGGCTGTGGTGTTGTGGTGGCAGTTTTTTTCAATACTTCTATATGGAGGGTTGAGGGGGGGGTGTTCCAATGTGGTGCGATGGTCTTTTTTCCTCATGCTTATAGTCAGGCTACACACTGAGAGAAATAACTTGGATGTATAGATACCATGGTGAAAAAAAATCCTGAGTGGATAATTTACTTTCGCCATTTCAAGAATTTAACTGGAATTTAACCCTTTTTATTTCCAGCCAAAACACTGCAATAAGAGTATTACTACAATACTTAATACAATCATCATACTTCCTGTATTAAAGAAATGGACTTTTTATTTCATTTATTTATTTCACTAAATCATCAGGACTTTTCTGAAAGCCTAGAAGGCCTCAAGGCTTCCCCACAAGCACACTTGTGGGCTATGAACCTGTTTAGCTCTGCACTTTTTCATCATCTTTTGGAAGGAATGCAAAAATGGACCATGTTTAAAGAGCTATCCATTGCAACAATCTCATAAACGCATGGTAGATACCAGAGATAGGAGCAAATCACTGAGTTGCAAGTAGCAAGTAAGTCCCAATTTATGTCTGAGTGAGTTCAGAAAAGTGCTAATCTTGGCATCCTAAACAAGTCAATACACATTCTTTAGCAAATTTAATGCCATTTCAACAGTGAACACCAAAAATGATGGTGAAGGTAATATAGTCTTTTTAATGATAACATGTTAGTGGTGGGCGGCACGGTGGTGCAGTGGGTAGCGCTGTCGCCTCACAGCAAGAATGGCCTGGGTTCGGTTCCTGGCCGCATGACCTGGGTCATTTCTATGTGGAGTTTGCATGTTCTCCCCGTGTCTGCGTGGGTTTCCTCCGGGTACTCCGGTTTCCTCCCACAGTCCAAAGACATGCAGTCAGGCCAATTGGACGTGCTAAATTGCCCCTAGGTGTGAGTGTGTGAATGTGTATGTCTGTCTGTCTGCCCTGCGATGCACTGGTGACCTGTCCAGGATGTATCCTGCCTTCCGCCCAATGACAGGGATAGGCTCCAGCACCCCACCGCGACCCAGAAGGATAAGCGATTTAGATGATGGATGGATGTTAGTGGTGCATGGTATTGTTTTGACCCCTTAAAATCCTGGTTCACACTCAGGCTCTCGACTCAAAACGAACTCAAACTCCCAAGATCCCACAGCTAGTCCTGTGATTTTCAAAGTACTATTGAACTTAACATCAAACAATAAAAAGTAATAGATGAAGATGAGTCTTTTGATTATTTTAGGGAGCATGTTCCTGTCCCCTTACTGAACCTTAAACCCCCAAACCACACCCAGTGAAGATCAATGTTTAGAGTGTCAGCTAATGATTGTGCTGAGAATGAGCTGCAATAGTCTACCTTGATACTTTTGTATACAGATATTTTGCAGAAAGTGGAAGTCCTGTATGAACTGGTAGGCTAATTACATTTGTGTGATATAAAATATGAATAGGCCTATGAATATTTTTCAGGGGATGCTAATGTAGGCGCTGAACAATTTCCAGAGGGTGCTTCAGCAACCCTCACCTGCTCTTGTGCCATGTCTGACACTGGCACACACATTCACTAAATCTGCTATCAATTCCAACCTTCTGATTAGACGTATCGAAAACAAAGACACTCTGAGCCAGGATAGCAGATGAGATCACATAGCTAGCATATTAAGTTATATAACGGTTTTATTGGCCAGGACCATGCTAGCGAAAGATCCTTAATTACTATATTCATTTCCTGACAGCACTCTCATCTCTTCGTGCTCCAGTGAGCATCCTTGCCATAGATAATGAATGCGGGGCTAATCCACGCACTGCACTTTACATATTTCAGTACAGATATTTCCCTCTCTCTCTCCTTCCCTCTGCTTCACCACCCTCCGCTATTAAGTACCCAGGTAGATTGTTGTTTAAATTTAGCAGCACTAATCTGATGTGTTAATTACACTGTGTGGGGCTGTGGATGCGGAGGCTAAATCTCCATATCAATGAGCTTCTCCCTTCCGAGATCGTTCAGCACTGCGTGTTCAGTCACGGTTCCTCCGCCATCCACACAGGGTCTGAGCGCTGGTCAGATCTACAACCACTCA